GTTCAGTCGCTGTACCAGGCGTCCAAAGGTGTTTCCAAGGAGTCAGTGAGCCTGGGGTCCAATATCCTGGTGCAAGTGCAAGCTGAGCCGCCAGCGTTGCGTTCTGTAGTAGCGTACTACTTCTGCTTGCGGGTGCTGGGGTACGCTTATGCTCTGGCTGGCACTCACAAGGTCCCGTCGGCAGCAAATCAGTCCCAGCAAGTCGTTTTTGCACCCCTGGATGTGAATCTCAATTACGCTGACTTCTGCCTCAGGCAGGTGACAGAGATCGTCCAGCAGCCAGGCCAGCAGCTGGCATGGTTGCAAGCCAAAGATGAGCACTCCCGTGCCTGCATGGTTGATCTGATGCGTCAAGGTCTTTCCCAGGGAGAGGCGATGCAGCAAGCCCTTGCCCGTACTGAAGTGTCGTGGGCAATGCCGCCTACAGGGCCCGTTGTAGCAGCGCATCCTGCCAGCGAGACGGGCGAGGCGCCGTCCAAGCGCGTCAAGCAGGAGAAAACCGTGTGATGCTTGCCATCTGGGCAAGTGATTTGCAAAAAGCGCAACGATCAGCGTGGCTGTGCGAAAAATGAGAAGAGCTGCCCGGACAAGCGCAGACACTGTTGTGATGTTCGCAAGCCTGATGGGAACGCGTGCGGATCAACTTCTCACGTCCGCCAAGATTGCCCGCACTTGCGGTTGTGACTAGGTCCTCACGAGGGCCGCGATTTTGATTTTCGGACCCGGACTGATGAAGTGCGTCGTGTGTGCCTTGTGCCTCCGGCAGGTAAGCTTGACGCTTGCCAGCCTTCTTCCAGAGCAGCGCATGTGTCAGCCGCCGCTGTGGATGGTAGCACGCCGCCTTTTGCTCAGTGGGTAGGCCGTGGTGGTCTGCCGTCGTTGCCGTGGGTCCCACCACGCCGAGGGCCTATTTTGCTAGTGTCGCTTTGCGATGGCTTCTCCGGGGCCGCCGTTGCAGTGGCTGCGCTCGGCCTCGAATTTTGCTTTGTGGCCGTCGAGTGTGACACCAGCTTGTCCCAAGCTGCGCAGCTAGTTTTTGCAAATTTTTCTGCACTTCAGTGACGTGTGCAAGTTTTCCTTTGCCCAACTGCCCAAGCAGTGGCGCAGAGCCCAGTTTTGGTTGATTGTGATAGTTGCTGGTTCGCCTTGCCGCGGTAATGCTAGCCTTCACAGTAACAGTCAGATTTTCCAGCACGTGCAGCGGGTTGCTGGTGAAGCTAGGCAAGTAGCTTCTGCCCAGCATGTGGTCGGAATCTTCGACAGCGCTGCTTGCGTGCCGTGCGACTCTTGCGTCCCCTCGCCAGTTGTCCAAATATGCACTGAAGCAGCTGACTTTGGCCATGTTTGCAAGCCGTGCGTGTGGTGGTTGGATGTAGAGCCCAGGGTTGCAGATTTGTTGCTTAATGTCATTGTGCCCCATGTTGAATTTTGCGTCTCAGCGGGGCAGATTCGTGCCAAGTATGCTGGCAAGCCTTGCCCTAAGCGTGTGCACTTTGAAGGTGCGTTTGTCAAACGCGCCGCTCAGCCTTTCCCGTGGTTGCCGTGCCAAGCCCGCTCGCGCGCGGCAGAGCCTGCTGCTTCTTGTGAGGGAACATTGCTGTGGCGTGGCGACGCTTACCGACTCCCAAACGACCGGGAAAGAGCTCAGATGCACTGTGTGCCTAAGGCTTTACTTGAGGCCGTCCAAGCGCGCGCCAACGACTTGGGCGCAGATCTGAGTAGTTCCTTGCACGTGCCCTCCTTTACCTTGGTGCTATGTCTAGTGCTGACGCTGCTTGCGCCTATCAGCAAGGTGCCAGGCCCGTGGTACGCGCCAGATGAAGCTCGGCTCAGATCTCGTGTGAAGGGTACTGTTTTTGAACCAGGCCTTTACTCTGCCTTCCCAGGCTTGCTCTCTGCTCGCGATTTGGCAACGCGTGTGTGTCACAGGATGTCCGCGGAGGGCTTGGCATTTTCCCGACCGTTGCAAGCCTTGGTGGCGGCTCTGTCGCAGGTGCCATTGAGTGATCTGCAAATTTACTGGGTTGACACGCAACTTCGCGGGATGCCTGCTGATGTCCAAGGACCGCACTGGGCGCAGCAAAAAGACCCTGCGCAGTCCTCTGCCGCCGCAGGCGTGCAGCGAGGGTCCGGCTTGTCCAAGTTCGCTCTGCCAGCGCTTCACAAGTCAGGTCTTTCCAAAGAAGCCCACATTGCCGAATCAGCCTTGTTGCAATCGCCTTTCGACTACAGTAGCCCTCTGGACGATGACTTGGACTTTGCTTGCCGCGCCATGATTGGCTTCGGCCCTTGGATTCGTACTTGGCGCGAAGCTCAACTTCGCGCGCTGCGTAAGTTGTCAAAAGTCCTGAGGCCGTGGGAAGCCGAGGCTGTTTCTCAAATGCCCGCTACTGTTGCTAGGGTTGCGTCGCGTAAGAGGCCTGTGTTCATGTTGGCTTGTACTTTGCTGCTGCGTTGGCCGGACGAGACCAACGCCCTCAGATACATCCTTGGTTTCCCTATAGTGGGCGACATTGAACACACGGGCCTTTTTCGGCAGCTAGAAGTTGACTGCGCGCAGCCAACAGGCCTTGACGTGTTGTTGGGCGCCTCAGCCGTGGCTAACTTGCGTGACTGTTTGCACCGTGTGCGACCCAGTGAACATGATGCCGCCTTGCTCGCAATGACGTTGCAAGAGGTGGCAGACGGCTTTGCAGATGGCCCCTTTGATGAAGAAGAGCTGAACGCCATGTTTGGCCGCGGAGGTTGGCGCCCTTTGGAAAGATTTGTTCACGTGCAGAGCTGCGGAAAGCTGAGGTGCATCGACTCTGGTAAAAAGTCTGGCCACAATAGGGCTAGCAGAGAAAGTGAAACAATTTTTGCCACAACTGTTGATGTCATCCCGGCCTTCGCTCGCCGAGCCTGCAGCCTTGCCCGCCAGCTGCAAGGGCCTGGCGAACATGACTTGCCTGAGTGGTTTTCTCTTGTGCTTGGCACGGAGGACATGAAAAATGCTTACAGACAGTGCCCTATCTTGCCTGCGCATAGGTGCTGCTCAGTAATTGCGTTTTGGCATTGCCACTCTTGCCGCGTCAAATACATCGTGCTCAACGGCTTGCCGTTTGGTTTGTCCTCTGCTGTACTTAGCTTCAACCGCACCCCTGCGCTGTTGACTGCCGTAGCTAGACGCTTCACTGGTTCAGCTGTTGCTTTCTTCTTCGATGACTCGTGCGTCCTTGACCTTGCTGCTGGTCACGGCCAAACGCAGGCAGCGCTCCGAGAAGTGTACGCCTTGATGGGTGCTGTCCTAGACCCGGACAAATCTCAAGCGCCTGCTGGTTGCCGTGCTTTCCTCGGCTTGTCTGTTAATGTCGCCAAAGCGTCAGTTGCCGGGGTTGTTGAGTTTGAGCTGAAGGATGGGTTTCGCGAAGTGTTGCAACAGGACATCGATACTGTTCTGCTTGTCTTCCGGGCGTGCAGCCAAATTGCGAGGCAAACTTGGCTGGTCTGCGTCAGGAACGTATGGCCGATGTGCTCGCGGGGGCCAGGCGCCTTTGGTCCGCCGTCAGTACTTTGACACGGTGGATGTCCTTGATGAGCCTTTGAAGGACTCTCTTAGGTTCCACAGTCTTCTTGCCTGTGTAGTGCAGCCTCGCCAAGTGCAGGTCCTAGGCGCAGTTTTGCCTCCAGTGCGCATTTACTCTGACGCATCATACGAGCCTGACACAGATCTTGTTGCAGGTGTTGGTTTTGTTGTGTTTGACGCTGCCAGTGCCCAGCCCCCTGTGGGCATGGCTGCCCGACTTGCGCCGCAGGTTTTGCAGCTCTTTGATGAGCGCCACCAGCAGATTACACCTTGCGAAGCCTTGTTGAGTGTAATTGTGCCTTGTAATGTCCCCCATCTTCTGGTTGGGCGCGATCTCATTTGGTACATTGACAATCAAGCAGCTTGCCAAATTCTCACCAAGGGTGCCAGTAGTGCAGGGGATTTGTGCTTCATCGCATCACTAGCGCATCTCCTGTACGCAAAGCTGAGTTGCAGGGTGTACTTCGAATACATCGAGTCGAATGCAAACCCTGCAGATGGTCTCTCCCGTGATGGCCTTGATGATGCGTGGACCTTTTCCCAAGGTTGGTCCTTGCTGCCGGCAATTGTGCCTGATTTAGTTCGCATTGCAGCGTCTTCGCTTGCAGCAGCTTTGACGGCATTGTAGCATTGGGGGGAACTTTGGGGTGGCTTGATTACACACACACACACACACTTCAGAGCGCCCTGTGGCTTTCACCTGCACTTTGTGCTGTGCGCCCTCTTGGCCTCTGTGTGTGTGTGCAAGCTTTGACTAACCCAATGACACTCCCTTCTTCAGCTTGCAGACATCGGCATTATCTCACACTGCATGCGAAAAAAAAGAGTGCGCCTTCTGCAGCAAGTTGCCGAGCTTTCATTCAAACTTTCTTGGCCTGGATGGGTTTGGCAGAAAGAGGATTGAGAGCACGCGCCTTGATTGATTGATTGATGGTTCAAGTCAGGCTAGCTGCAGGGCGCACATTTTCTTGCCCGCCCACCACGCCCTGGCATTGCCAAGAGTCTTGGCCTGCCTGTGATTTCTTCTGCCAAGCTTGAAGTGGGGTGGCTTGATTACACACACACACACACTTCAGAGCGCCCTGTGGCTTTCACCTGCACTTTGTGCTGTGCGCCCTCTTGGCCTCTGTGTGTGTGTGCAAGCTTTGACTAACCCAATGACACTCCCTTCTTCAGCTTGCAGACATCGGCATTATCTCACACTGCATGCGAAAAAAAAGAGTGCGCCTTCTGCAGCAAGTTGCCGAGCTTTCATGAGTTGGTTTCCTTGTGGTTTGCCTTTCGACCGCCAGAGGGGTTCCTCAAGTTTACGCGCCAAAATGGTCCAAGTGAGTCCCGGAGGTTTCGGAGGTGCGCTCAGTTGGGGTCTAGAAATTGGGCCCCAGGAGGCTGGGAAACCCCATTGCACAGTTGGGGGAAGTTCTGTCAAATGGCCATGGCCTGGTGTTTTGCCTTCCTTTGAAGCCCTTTTTTAAGACAAACCCGATTGTACTATCACCAGCTGCGAATGCCACCCTGCAGTCAAGCAACAAGCACCAATCAAGAGGAACAACCAACCAATCATTCATTGTTGCGTGAAGGCGGTTGAATAAACGATCATCAAACGCATCTCCAAGCCCATTCACTTGACGGGACAAGCACCCACAGATGTCACATCCCACATTTCGACCATCATGTATTGTAAACCAAGTACGGAATTGAAGCCGCACTTTGTCCGTTTCCCTGTAAAAAGGTTCAGCATTTATTCCCCCCCCCCTCCAACCTCCCAACCCCCCCCTCCCTTCCCGGCAAGCACGGGCGCCAAGCCCCGTGCGTGTCGCGTGCCGGAGGAGCTCCCCGACTCCCGGGCCAGCGCCAAGATGTTGCGGTCGCTGGCCCCAGAGGCGATTGCCGTCAAAAAGCGCGGCCGACTCGGTGGCCTTTTGCTTGGTCAGTTTGGTTTAGAGGGGGTTTTGTCCCGTTTGCAAGGGCCATCTGTTTTGCCAAAGGACACGTGTGGATGCAGGTCCTGTACTTGAGAATCTCTTACTTCAGATTTCGGACATATTGTAGAGCCGATCAAGCGAGATTGGGAACGCACCCCCACTTTTGGATGGGGCGTAAAAGGAAATCAGCCGGCCTGAGAACCAACCAAAAGGAGCTGAAAAGGGGACCGCAGTATAAGAGAACCTTGTGCCCGTTCGACGTGATCTCGGGATGCTAGTTTTGCTTTGGTGGAACTTTTGGCAAGGAGGAATTTCACCCACAACATATTTACTGTAAAGACTACAGACGTAAAAGGTTCAAGTGTGAGCTTGTGCTTGGCTCTAACTTTCAACCGCCAGGAGTGTATTGCCACGCTGCACGCACCTTGGCCTTTTCTTTATGCCAAGGCAGGCACAAGCCAGACATCTGGTTCAGGACCTCTCCAATTCCCGTTTCATCAATCTTTTGGTTTCCTTCCCTTCCGAGAAAAACAGCAACAAAAACAAACAACCGGCCGTCCCCGGCGTTTGTGTGACGCCTTTCGAGCCGACGCCTCCCGAAGCCCCCGAAGCCCTGGAAGCCGAGGCGCTGCGCGCGCAGCGCCTGGAGCTGAACGCCTTCCACGCGGCCGCGGCGGTGGGCGCCTGCCGCCGCAGCTGGCCCACGGCGCTGCAAGTGCTCGGCGAGCTGCCCGGCGGGGGCGCCACGGAGTTCTCCTGCCATGCGGCGTGCGGCGTGCGCCACGGGCCTCGCAAACCCTGGGCTTCTTCTTGTTTGCTATTACTGGGCATTGCACTGAAGAAGAGATTCCAAGTTGGAGCTGCAAACTGAGCATCGCAATTTGCCGCATGCTTTTGCAGTGTCCGTTCCGCTTTTCCTACTAAAACAAGCGCACCCCTTTCAATTTCTGTTCCTCTTCGGCCCAACCAACATAATTTTCATCTCCGATAAATCTCCCCCCCCCCAGCGCCCCCCCCCAGCGCAGGCCTGCGGCTTGCGGTGGACGAGGCTACCTGCTGCTCCGCCATCTCCAGCTGTCGCCAGGAGTGGCAGATGGCGCTGGTCGCGGGCCCAGCTCGGTGAAGGAAGCTGGTGCCCCCTCTTTTTTGCGAACTGAGCAGGGCCCGTTCGGGTAGTGGTTGGGAATCATGTTCCTGCTTCAGTTTGTTTTTGGTCTTTGGGAAGCATGTTCCTGATCATTCATTTTTTTTCGATGTTCCTGATCATTTATGTGTTTTTCGGGGGGGAATGTCCAGACACCCGCGAGACATCCAGCTTTGGCACAGGCAAGCAGTCGCAAGCCGAGGCGCTGCTCGCCTCCGGCGGCCACGGCGCCTCGCCGCGAGCCTCCGGGGCGGCGCTCAGCGCCTGCGCCGCAGCGAGGCGCTGGGAGGCCCGCGGCGCGCGACGATGCGATGGCCCGGTGGGTTTTGGTGTTTTGAACAGTTTTGGTGCGAGGAAGGTCGTGGCAGGTCATTCTGCAAGGGATGTCGTTCGAACAAGTCTCAGTCCAATGTTATCACTGCACGCGCAGGTGGCGCTCGGCCTGCTTGATTGGCTTTCCGCAGAACACAGCCAGCCCGACGTCATCAGCTCCTTGGAGGAACTGCAGCACCAGTTTTTGCTCACATCGCCCTGTTTGGCGACTGGACGTTGTCATACTGTGTCACGCAAATGGATTGGTGTGCCGCCCGCATTTGGACGGGTTGCAGAGGCGACAAAGGAAGCCGTCGACACTTGGACAAAGGCCTAATTTTCACCTCAGATGACTCCGAGCGGAGGGGCGCCGTTTCTTGGGTGGGTTTTCTGAGGCTACAGTTCCGCCATCACCGCTTGCGAGGGCCAGTGGGAGCAGGCGGGCAAAGCGGGCAGCCGCCCTTGCTTGTTTGCTGCTTACTGCTGTGGCATTCCTTTAGGGTTTGGTCCAGCTGGCTTTCCTTCGATTTTCTTTCTTTTCGGAGAGACGTTTCAATGGGAGGCCTTGGGCCTCCTGCGCGCCATGGCAGCCGCCGCCTGCGAGCCCAACGAGGTCAGCCCTTCGGACGGAAAGCGATTCGGTGGGATTTGACCCGACTGGCGAGCTGTTGTCCCCCGTGGACCACACCCAATGCATCCAACCACAAAAAAACAAAAAGCAGTACATACCGGTAGATGGCAGTCATAAGTGTCCTTTTTGGTTGTTTTGGTAGAAAAATAGATGGTCCTGGTATCTACCAGGGCCATCTATTTGGCCCTAAAAGGACACCTATGATTGCAGTGTTTCTACATATTTGGGGCATCCACTGTATGGGTTAATTTTGGGCTGTGCTTCTCAAGGGTTTGAGCTCGACCTTCTGAGGTTGAAATTCGCAGTTCCTTCAAAGAACCAACGGGCTTCCCTGTTTTGTGACGCAACGTTCTTTGGAGAGGCGCGGGAAGATTGGATGCTCTACATGACTCTTGAACGCAGCCGCGCGCAGTTTGGCGGTTAAGTAGTGGATGCACGGATCTCCGATTCATCCGAAGGCTGAAGTTCATGGGACCCTTCGAATTCACGCTGCACACTGTAGATGTCTTGAGTCTGGCTTGGCGTTATGAGGGCAACAGATCTTCACTTTGTGTTTCTTCACTGTTTCTTGTTGGTGACTCGGCGCCAGAAGTCCAACTGTTCCTATGGGCAGAGCATCCAAAGCGGGCAAAGCGGGAAGCGAGCGAGCGCGACGGCGCAGGCTACACGGCGGCCATGGCGGGTTTGGCAGAGGGGCAGCAGTGGGAGCAGGCCATGCAGCTGTTGCGCTGCCTGCCGCAGCCAGATAGGCCGAGTTGTTTTTTCGTTGACAGAATCTGGCCGACAAAACAGGCGACAAACAGGTGAGCTTTTGGGGGGAAACCTAGCCATATGCAAAACCAGGAACCCGTCAGATGCTTTTCGTGCAACCCTGTTTACAGGCGGCGCAATGCAAGCTTACACCAGGTTTCCACCAGCATATTTTTGTAATTGGGGGCCACCCAAATTCCCCACAGCAATCAGAAATCCGAGGCCTCCTGTTGAGATCTTCAACGGTTTCATTTTTGGTGGCGCTGACAGGGGATCCCAAGAGGTGTCATCATTCTGCCAGCGTCCCTGGCAGATGCACGAGGTGATTCCTGCCAAGCAACTGAAAAGGCGCCACACGGTATATACCATCGACTTGGGAAACACATCGGGGGATGCAAACCCTGCAGAACGACAAGCTGGACCATGTCGTGCGTTCGATAATTGTCGACTTGTTTCCTACGGTTGAAAAGCAAGAAAAACTCGAGGAACCATAATTGAGTCAAACAAATGCTTTGGAGTCCCGCTGGCTGAACGAGCTTCAGCACGACACATACACGGCTTCAGCGCCTTCACCTCTTCGAGGCGCGCCTGGAACGCGGCCCTCACGGCCCTGGCGCGGGGCCGCCAGCGCAGCGCCTGCTTGGCGCTGCTGCGGCGCTCCAACGCGCGGCCAGGAAGCCACGTGGTCAGCTGCCCGGCGACGACTCGCTGATTTCCGCAGCCTCCCCACCGTGGAACCTCACCGGGTCCTGGGAGGTTCCATATTTTTGTGGGGAGGGCAGAGGAGTCCTGGCAAAAATTAGGGAACGGCTAGGAAACACTCTCAACAAGAGGAATCTAGAAGAAAGACACTCTTGTGGTTATGCTCCCAGCTCCAAAATCTTGGCAAGAGACAAGAAACAGGGGACTAGGGTCTCTTGTTGGGGCATCCAAGGTTCCACTTCTGATTTCCTACATGCCCGAATTTATAATCCATATGTTAGGATGATTGCTGGGGTATGTACCATGGATATCGCCAGTACGACCCCCCCCTCACAACCCAATGCCCATTCGGATAGGAGAGTAGGATCTTAACAATGGGTCTTTTCAAGCAGTGCTTCGGCGCTTTAAACGGCTATGGGTTTCTGCGGGAGACCCATTGCCGGCTGTTTGGTCGCCAATGTCAACTCCAGTTGGTTCCATTCATTGGCTTTGCTGAAATCCATGGAAGCCACGCTTGTTTGCACTACTTTGCACACTGGGGTGGCGGATTTATGGTTCTTTCTTGAAAGTAGGCTAGCCCCCCCCAAATCACCAGTTCCAAAACAAAGGGCGCCCACGGATTCGAGGCTATAACATCGCCATGGGTGCCTGCGCGGGTGAAGACGGCTGGGTGCTGGCTCTGTCGCTGCTGGCTGAGCTGGGCGATGATGCGGCCGGGCAGGGTCGAGGGGGCCGCTTTCTTTTGCACGGCATAAGTGTAGATTGCAAATTTTTGTGCGTCAGCTTTTTCAATGGCCTCGTATAATGACATTGTTGTGGTCTGTTTGGTCTGTAGCCTGACGATGAGTGTTCCCTATGCTGGAAGATGCCAGCCATGTGCTTACGCAAGTACAGAGGAGCGAGCGCCACAGAAGAAAGCACTCTGCCCAGCAGGCTGCGAGTGCTTTGCTTCACCAGGGGGCCATTTGCTCGAGCAACCAAATTGAAGCCATTATATGCATGTGGTTGCTCAGTGCAATCATCGGGTTTTCAGAATCATGGATCCCTTTCCTGCCCCAGGGATTTTCTTGACGCCGACTTGCGGGGCACACGCACCGTGTACCCGCCAGCTGAGACGCGCGCCTTCGCCAGGACCAGCTCAGCGTGGCCGCGGCCCTCGGCGCCTGTGAGGCGGCGGGCCGCTGGCGCCAGGCGCTGGCGCTGGCGCTGGGCGGGGCGCCTTTGGCGTTTTAGCTCTGGGCTCCAGCCGTGCTTTGGTTGTGGGGGGTTCGGGAGTAGTGGGAAGAGCTCGGTTTGGCGCTGGGACATGGTGGGCACGAGCGGTGTCAGCGAGAACATTGGCGTCTGATTTCCGACAGGTCGGGCCAGCATGTTTTTTTTCTCGCTTTGCACAGCGTGCAGTGTGTGAGGTGATTGAAGGCCGACATGACCACCAGCTTATCATTTTCTTAGACGTCGTGCTTATCCGGCAAGGTGGGCCAACATAAAACAAGGGTTGCAACAAGGTGCAATTTCATCACATCCCGCCGCTCGGCATCTTGACAATCCTATCTTTGGTTGCCGTTGCCAACAAGGGGGTTTATCTGATTCTTCTTGGCCACATCCTGCCGCAAGATGTGCTCTGGCTGTTCGAACAAATCTTGTACCTGTAGCCCAACATGCCCAACCTATCAACGCAAGGGATGCACCATAGACTTTATGTCTGAGCAACATGAGGGTGTCCGTGCACAAACCAAGGATGCTGAACAAACGAAGCTCGGCTTCCGAACCCGAGGGGACCGGCGGCCTGCGGAGCGCCATTGGCGCCTGCGCCCGCGCGGCCCAGTGGCAGCGGGCGCTGCTGCTGGCGCAGGGGGCTGACGCCTCCTGCGGCCGGGAACCCTGGCACCCGGGGGCAATGGTATGAGTCAGTCGGCCATTTGTTTAGGTGGTTCTAAGGGGGGTCCGGCTTGCATCACATGTGACCGCTTAGAACCTGGAGTCCAAGGGTCAACTGCTGGGTTGGGGTTTGGATCATCGATGCAGGTGCGGCCTGCAAGCCAGCACTCTGCGAGTGCGTTTGCCACTCAGTCTTCCCATAGTCCGAATCCTACATTTGAGCTTGGTGACTGATTCACCGGATGGCTTGAATGCCTGGCCAATTTCTGCGGTGGCACCTGTCCCCCAATATCCATGTTTTTGACTCTTCGTTTCCCTTCCCACTTGCCCATGCTTCTTTTGAGAATGGTGGCAAGATTGGGGCCAGTTGACATGCGCCAGAAGATGCTGCTCCATGGCCTTTTTAGACGATAATTGCCCCCTCTGCGAGATCTTCGGCACCTGGAACAAGTTCCCATTTGGTTTTGTCCAGAGGGACTTTTTGTCCAACGGGAGATGCCTTTCACACAGTCTCCTTGTTTTTTTTGTGGGGTCGCTTGTCACTTCTTCTTTTTCCTGCCGTTCACCTGGCCCAGCCTGGGGCGAGGGGGTGAGGGGGGTGCCACGGATGCCATGGCTTTGGCAAGCCTGCGCCGCGTGGCGCTTGTCGGGCAGGCCCTCTGAAGGGGAAGCAGGGAGGGCAGCAGCACCAACGACAACGGCATCTTCGAAGATTGTGCAAAAAGATGCTCAATTCGTTTGAGGTTCACATTGGCTCATGTTGGAAAAACAGAGGCTCATGTGATGCACAACACGCCTCTGAGGCTCGATGGCATGCGTTTAGAACCTTCATTTGCGTCACACCAGAAACGCATTCCTTGCTCCTGTTATGCATTGCTTGCCTCGGTAAACCTGGCCAAGCCGCGGCAATCGTTGACATGCTGATAATCTGATAGGTCCCAAGCCAGCCCCTCAAAAATAACAATGATTTCCCAGGCTATCGCCAAGCAGTTGAAGGCGACCAGAATGGTTGCTTCCCCTACCATCTTGCCACCCAGTGGCAGATTCGAGGAGCTCAAAGGATAGTGATTTCCAAAGCAAGAAACCCGTTATTGCATGATGCAAAAGGGCCAGCGTAAGCCATGGCACCATGGTCTTCGGAATTCGGGACGCCTACTAGATCGTGTGTTTGTTTTTTGGCACTTCCGCCACACCATTTGCAAGCGAGCAAGGATTTCAACTCACACACACACACACACACCGTGTGGTGGGATTGTTGGGATTGGATGTTTTGTTTGTTGGTCCTCCAGGGCCCGCTGCAATGCCAGCCAAAGCTGGGGCTCCCTTTCGCAGGGGCGCTGCAGGTTCGGCAGCGTGCAGGACGGCGCAGAGGGATCAAGCCAAGTCGCATGTGGCTTTGGGTGAAAGAGCCCTGAATTCTTGATTTCGAGAGTACAAGGGAAAGGATGTTTACGTTTTGCAGACCCCCAATGGGCTCATGTTGCAATTGACTGCCTTACGTGCTGCTTGCTGCTTGAGTCCCGTGTCTTGCAAGGACATTGTGACAAGGGGAAGAGCAGCGCGCCGGACAGCTTCTTTGACAGCGTGACCTACAGAAAGCCCATAGAAAGCCCAACAAGACGGCCCAGCGCCCGTGTTTGCGTACGCACACCAAACCCCTCCTTTGAATTCCTGCACGACGTACAGCCCTCTTGCTGTGCCAGCGATATCAAGAGCCCGAAATGCAGGTGTGGCAGGGCCAGACTATCTTTCGGCATGCCAGGAGATGCTCGGGCAACTTGCTGTGCCAGCTGCAAAGAGGACGGCATGGTGAATATCAAGAGCCCGAAATGCAGGTGTGGCAGGGCCAGACCATCTTTCGGCATGCCAGGAGATGCTCGGGCGACTTGCTGTGCCAGCTGCAAAGAGGATGGCATGGTGGACATTCAGAGCCGCAAATGCAGGTGTGGCAGGGCCATACCATCTTTCGGCATTTCAGGAGATGCTCGGGCGACTTGCTGTGCCAGCTGCAAAGAGGACGGCATGGTGAATATCAAGAGCCCGAAATGCAGGTGTGGCAGGGCCAGACCATCTTTCGGCATGCCAGGAGATGCTCGGGCGACTTGCTGTGCCAGCTGCAAAGAGGATGGCATGGTGGACATTCAGAGCCGCAAATGCTTAGGAGCCGCAAATGCAGCCAGCTGCAAAGAGGACGGCATGGCAAGAGCCCGAAATGCAGGTGTGGCAGGGCCAGACCATCTTTCGGCATGCCAGGAGATGCTCGGGCGACTTGCTGTGCCAGCTGCAAAGAGGATGGCAGGAGATGCAGGTGTGGCAGGGCCATACCATCTTTCGGCATTTCAGGAGATGCTCGGGCGACTTGCTGTGCCAGCTGCAAAGAGGACGGCATGGTGAACATTACAAGTTTGAGGTGTCTTGTGTGCGGAAAGCACGCAAATTATCCAGATGTTACTGGCAAGCCGCGGCAACTGTGTGCAGCACACTCTGCACAGGTTGGCGCACACGTATTGTCGTCATCGTATTTTTCGCGCGCAGCAAGCGACTGTTTTGACATGTTGGAGGAGGAATTGGGGGACAGGTTCACTTTTCGGCATAGATTTGATGCAGCCACTGGCACTTGGTCCGGCAAGGAATTTGCAGGCCTAATTCCAAACCGTGCAGTGCTGCCAGATGCCTACCACCCGCAGAGGCGCGAGGTGGTGGAATTTCTGGGGAACTACTATCATGGGTTTCCTGAAGATCATCCACAGCAACCTGGCAGGCGCTCCAGCTTATGCACGTGTTGTTGTTGTGCCACCAAAAAAGTATGTTTTACATGCAGGCAGCTTGCCAAGTTGGTTTTGTTTGCTTCAGCTTGCAGCTTATTCTGTTCAAAGGCATAGCACCTACACCTGCGTGGGCGGCAAGCCAGCGCCAGATGTCTACCGTGACACCATGGAACGCTTGGATCTGTTCACTGCGGAGGGGCTGCGCGTGTTTTACATTTGGGAGCACGAGTTCATGGAGTGGCGGAAGCGAGCGTTTCGGCAGAAGTCAGGCTGGAGGTTCTTGGCTTGAAGCGATTCCTATTGTGAAATTGGAGATTTGCGCCTTGGTGGACGAAAAGTCGTCAGCCCTGCCCAGTTCTGCATTCCTTGGCAACGCTTCCTTGTAGGTGGCAGTTGGTTGCAGGATGTCCGATGGACGAAATGTGGGAAGCCCTGGCCAGTTCCGCACTCTTGCCGGGTTTGCTTCCCTGTTAGCTGAAGCACCTGGCAGAAACCTTGGCAGCATCTTGACACAACGGCAGTTGGTTGAAAAGGCACTGGTTGCCACCTGCTCTTTGCTCATTCGGCCCTCAGTCCGCCGCAGCTTCATATGAAAGCCGAGGCCGCCGCTGGGGAGGCCGTGCCCATCACCAGCCTCCTGCGCCGCCATGAGCCAAAGCCCATGCGCCGAGAAAAGAAGCGCTCGCCGCTGGCGACCCCGTGGCCCAGTGGTATCCTTGGAATTGCACTGCTGGGTTTAACCATTTGTTCCCCGGCACCAACAGCCACACGGAGCCTGACACAGTGATTCGCATCATGCTGCCGCCGGAAGGTGTACCCCATGTTGCAAGGCTTTGACATGGACCGGTTGGTGCCAGTCCCATTTTGTCCAAGTCGGCACACTGGCAACGGGGCTTCGCGCTTGAGGTGCCGCGGCAATCGGCGCCTGTGGCAACACCGGGCACTGGGAGCAAGCGCTGTTGGTGGCCGAGAGGCGCGCGACTGGGTGAGGGGAGGAAGCTGCGCCTGTCTCCTGAGCTCTGGGAGTTGTTGTTTACATGTCCCCCCAAGAAAAGGAACCTACCTTGTGAAGACAGCTTTTGCCAGACCGCACACTTGCTTTCTTGGGGGTAGAGTTTGAAGTGGATTCCCACAGCTCGGCCGTGCAGTTATGGGCCCAGCCCGGTGCTGCTGAGCGCGCTGCTTGGTGCCTGCGGCGCTGCGCGGCGGTGGCAGCGAGCCCTGCAGCTCTTTTGGGCAGAGGACCGGAAGATGAACCAGGCACATGAACCAGAGAGTGGAACCCCCCCCCAAATTTGGCAAGCATGCATCGATGGAACAAGCATGCATAACGCAGCGAACCCATTGCTCCTTCTCTCGCCGCCTTCCTTCGCACAGGAGCTGCCGAACAGCTTCTGCTTCTCCGCAGCCATTGCCGCCTGTGCCAAAGCCAGCGAGTGGCAAGCTGCAGTGGAGCTGCTGCAAAGGCACCAAAAGGTTGCTCACACCAGTACCAGTGAAGTGCCTCTGTTGGTCATGCGGGTCTTCTCCAGGGCCTTTTTGGAGCTTCGCACATTTTTGCCTTCCTTCAAAGAGTAGCAAAGGCAGGATCGCAGGTGATGTTGATATTTCCCGGCGCTAGGATGCCAGAATGCTCGGTGGAGTCCAACAACATCTGCAGCTTGGCCAATCCGAGATTTCTGGCAGTCGGTTGATTTTTTGGAGGATGCACCAATGCATAGTAGAAGAACATCATCGGATATTATTTGGGCGCCCGAACATCAGATGGAGGGCAGCTTTGCTTGCTACCTCCTTGTACCGGTGAAGGCATTCGTTGCAATTCGTTCTGCTCATTGCCATTTGCACCCCTGGTAGTTAAGACGGAGCCCAAAGGCCCACCATCATCATGGCGCAGAGAAGACCGGGATCTAGGGTCAGGGAGGGCGACAGTCTGCTCTTGTGCCACCATCCACCATGCGAAGATGCATTGCTGGCATTATTAACATCATCAGCATCACCAAGGAACCACTGGCATGTTGGGATTATCCGCATCATCAACATCATCAGCATGTCTAGCGTCACCAGCATTGGCAGCACCACCAGCACCAAGTATCCAAAACATCCCCAGCGCTTCCAGCATCATGGGCGGCTGAGAGGGGGAGTCTCTGGCAGAAGTCGAGAGAGAAGGAGAAGGGGAAGACTGTTGGCTTCACTTTGTTTCACCTTGGGTTCCAGTTGAACACCATCCAGAAGTCCAACCAATTTCAGGACTTAGCCTCCCCGTGATTTCGGCTTGAGGCCTCAATGCCGCCCTCAGCGCCTGCCAGCGCGCGGGGCTGTGGCAGCGGGCGCTCTCTTTACTGCGGGGCCCTCCGGACGGGAGCTGAACATAGGGTCCATTGGAGAAGTTTCTGATTTTGACGAAGTCCACAAAATGGTTGGTCTTTGAGAAGCTGCCAACGCCTGTCATCAAATGAGAGTGACTCCCCTTCAGCGAGGTCTCACAATGCTTTACATTTTTGGGGGAGGCATGAGGACCTTTTCTATCCCCTTGGACGCCCTCAGGTTCCAAGGAGTTTGTTTTCCTCGGGGCGGACGCCGCGAGGACAGCGCCGGGCTCCATGTGCTGCTCTGCTGTGCCGAGGGCAGCGGCTGGCCGTTGGCGCTGGCTCTGCTGGCTGCGTACCCCACCGAGCACGGAGGCCCAGAACCCCGGCGCCAAAGCCGGGCCGGTGAGGTGCCAAAGTTTTCAGGCACGTTGGGACGTGATATGGCCATGGTTCAAAACCAATGGTACTATTTTGGGATAGGTGCACCACCCAGTTTAGTCTATTTTAGTGGGGATTGGGATGTTCACTGGGGGTACGGGGTTTTGACCCCCCCCCCCCCATGGCCATATGCTGCGTTGAAGTGTGGACCCGCAACAAAGAGTTTTGGCAGCCTTTCGGTTGTGTTGCTCCATACTACTTAAGACGCCTTGTTTGGTTTTGAAGGGGAACTCGCGCAAGAATGCATTATTTGGGAAGACCCTGGTTTGGAGATGTTACCATTCTCGTTTGCCGAGTGAAGTATGGTAGAGCGATTGGCAGGAGAAAGCGGGCAACCTACATGTTTGTTGTCTACAGAGCCAAGCTGGGGTTCTGGACAACCTGCACCTGGGGCACATATGGAGGGTCCAGCGACAGCAAGAACAGAGATTGGGTAAGAGTCTTTCTTTGGGCTTTCAGCGTCTACCGTTGATTCCCAAAGTCGTGCAAGTAGGGCGAAAGGATTTCCTGTGCAACGCGCAATAGAATACTAAAAGAAAGGAAAAGAGGGACGCTTCCTAAAGGGTTTCCTGCTCTTTCGTTTTGGAAGCCGTCCCGAGCTCGTGCCGAGGTCTCCAGCCGCATTGGATGCTGCCTGTATGGCTTGCTGCAGGGCGTTGCGATGGCGGGAGGCAGGACTCGTGCTTTTTACATCGGAAGCCTACAGGAAACACCCGTTTTTCAATCATGGACACAGAGCCCGAGACATGTTTCACTCAAGGGAGCCACAGAAAAAATGAGTCTGCTCTGGAGGCAATGCAGAAGGAGTGACCAAGCCCCGATCTCTGATCTAATTTGGAGCCACGCCCCTCTTGCAGCCCGACTTTGCTCTTTGGCAATTTTTGACCCAGGTTCGGGCCCCCTTCCCCCCTGCAATTTGGATCCAATTTTTGCCCCACCAATTTCATCCAGGTTTTGACCACCACCGCCCCCCGAGACCAAACAAAAACAACAAATAAACATAATATATATTTTTTACATCCCGCAAAGTGAAAACTTTGACCTCCTCCCCTCTTGCGTCGCACAAATCCTGTCGTGCTATTGGCGCGCAGGCCGTTTGGCTGGCTCGGGCGCTGCTGCAGTCGCCGTCCCCGGGCCGGGTGGAGGCCCTGGCTGCGCTGGCGGCGCTCTTCGAGGAAGAAGGCGTTGGGACTTCTTCGCGCGTGTTGAGTTTCGGGTGGTGGTCAGCGCCTGTTGACTTGGTAGTTTCTGGGGGAGATGGATAGGTTGAACCAGTTGTTTCTTTGAGTACCAATTATGTTCTCCTGGTCGCGTTTCTGAGGTTTTCCTTTTTTTCTGGCCTTCCAACTCCCAGGCCTCGAGCAGCCGCGCAGGCGGCTGCTGCAGCGCCTGGGGCGCCTGCAGGGCCCGGAAGGCTTGCAAGAGGCGGAGCTGAGATGCCTCACTGGGTATCGGTTTGGTGGGGGAGTCGCGCAGCTTACCTACAAATCAACATGGAATCCAAAAAGGGGGTTACTCAAAAGAAGATCCCTCTACGGTTTTTGTTGGTCTTGTATGTTAATCTGCAGGTAGCTCGTTTTGGTTTTTGCCGAATTGTGTCGGCCCAGCATTCCGGTTTGGCCAGAAAAGGAAGAAAGGAGGCTGGTGCCTGTTGGGGGTCTTTGATGCCTTGAAACCATGGCGGTGCCAGGGTTTGATGAGTGTGGGCACTTTCAGACTGGGCTTTGCGAAGGCAGAAGGTGTGCAATTTGCAGAGCTGTCGTTCTTTCTGCTTGACATACTTTGCATGGCAAAGCTTTTTGCGGCTGAACGCTTTGCACCGCGAAGTGGCGCGCGAGGTGCTCATGACAGCCGCAGACCTGGACCCCCAGGCCAGGTGCATTTGGCAGTGGGAGCGATTGAGCACAAGTGCGACACCGCGTCTCGCCAGCAGCTTGGGATGGAGCCCTTCACCTTTTTTGGGGATCGTCTGATCGTTGTTTGGAGGTCAGCTCGAAGCGCCCGGCCAGGCCCCGCCGCTTCCATCCAGCGTCGTGGGGCTGCAGGGAAGCCTGGCCAGGCTGCCAGCCGGGCCAGCGACGGGCAGGCCGTGGGCTCACACCTTTTGATTCAAATGCGAGGCAGAATCGAGTGATTGGGGACTGTCCTTGCTGTGAAAAGGCCGGGTTTCGACGTGGTTTTGGGCAGAAGGTGGATTGCGTTGATTGTGAGTGATATGACTGCACATGGAGCCGCTTGAAGGTCACATACATCAAGTTACAAAGAAGCCCCACACCCAATATGTTTGGAACACTCAGTCACTGGCAGTTCATTTTGTACCTTGCGACTGAAGCCAATCGGCCAGGTTGCCATACCAGAAGGAGGTGGCGCTGCTAAGGCCGGGCTGAGGGACAGCAAAGAGCAGGAGCCCATGTTTGAAGTGTATCTGGGATCTGTGGGGGTGTCTTTTTGGTGTAACCATAAGAAGTCCAACTAGTTTTGGGGTCTTGTAAAAGAAGATGCATCTTGTCTCAGGGTTCTGGAGTAGAATTCCAGTTACAGGATCAGAGATGCCCAGGTTGTGAAGCCTCAAGAGAGACGCAAGACCATGATCCTCCCACGGAACCATGGAAAATAATAGGTGACGAGTGCCCAGCAATAACCTAGAGCTTCAGATTCTCCTATGCAGTCGGAATGCACTAGCCTTGAAAAGTTCCTTCTGGCCGCCTGGCAACGGAGCCAGCCATTGCCACAACATCGGAAGCAGGAAGAAAGCGTTTGCCAGCATCGCAGTTTCGCGGTGTCCTTAGACGATTAAGGCCATTGGTCATTGTTTGAAACAAATGAAGAGCAAACTACGAGCCTTTCTGTCAGGTTCTTTAGTCATTTCGTGGTTTCCGATGAACACCCGTTTGAACAACGGTGGGTAGAGCATGACTGCCGACTTTATTCATTTTGTTTGGGCATGAAACAAAAGAGCATAGCTAATGCGGACACCAATGTCCTTCTATTACAAATCCATCCGTTCCATCTGACATGAACGAATAACTGAGAAGTCACCGAAATCAATATATACTGCACAAAAGGTCAATATACGATATTTCGACCTCCCCTCCCCCTCCCCATCCCCTAACCCCCCCTCTCCCCCCCCATTTCGACCCTCTCCCAGGTTTTGCGATTTTTTTCGGCGTGCCATTTTGTTGCGGCTTGGACGGCGCGGCTGTTCGCCGGCGCGGCTGTTTGCCGGCCGTCGCGTTGCAGCGCGAGGCACGTGCTGCGCAGCTGCAGCGCCGGGGACGGCGCCGCGGTGGAGGAGGCCATGGATAGCTTCGCTGGGCGACTGGGCGCCGCAGGCGGGGGTTTGGCGGACGGGGCAACGCGTGGGTTGGGGGGGGGAAACAAACGAGCACATGGTGGGTTATCGAACTAGGAATCAGAGCTTTTTGTGGATGGCTTTTAAAGAGAAACCAGCCAGCTAGTTTCCCCAGTTGTGGAGAAACACCCACCTGGAAAGAATGTTATGCCGGAAAGGAAGCAAAAAGCAAGGGTGAGTGGAAGAGGGAATAGTCGAATGGAAGAGGAGACTGGAAGCAGTTTTGGTGTGACATTGCCAGCGCCACAAGCAGAACTGATGGCAAAGGGCTGGACATGTGCGGCTTCCAGTTTCTTGGGTTTGAAGCTCTTGGGGGGAGATACCGTCATGGTTTTGTGGGGCTCTTCAGAATGTGAGTCCTGTCAGCTTGTTTCTTGCGTGTGACAACCCCTTCTGCTTTCCAGAACAGAGATGACCCAGAGCAAACCGGCCTACATGCGGCTTTGTTTGGCCCGATTCCTTGCTTCCCTCAGGCGGATGGGCGAAATTTGCCGGGGGTACCAAGGCGGAGGTCTTGCCACTCGCCTCAATGCTTGTGAGGCCAACTGCAGGCGTACGTCTTTGTGGTACTGCCCTCTGGGGTTTTGAAGGTTCCAACTTTTTGAAGCTTCGAAATGGCAAGTACTGCCAAGTTTTTTTGGAACCATTTGCAAGCCGATTGTCCACTTTGTTTTTGCGGCTTGCAAATGGCCACCACAACCCACCGACGGCCCCATTCCGGGTCGGTGGCCCGGGGACCCGAGGCTGCGCGCCGCCGCGGGCGCCCAAGGCGGCGCGGTGCTGGACGTGGGCGCCTACTGCGGGGGCTCCGCCCTGCGCCTGGCGCGGCGGGCCGCAGGCGTGCCGCCGTGCCACGCCGGACAGTCGAAGTGGGGGATGCGGGGCTTGGTTTGGGCTGGGTGGTGTGACTGGTCAATTCATTGGCTGGTTGGTTGGTTGGTTGGTTGGTTGGTTGGTTGGTTGGTTGGTTGGTTGGTTGGCATGGCCATGCATCTTTCATGCCCTTCTTCTTTTCGGCTCCTATTCGTTCCATCACGAAGTCGTACATGGTCACAGAAACATGCGTTCCTTGAACTCCCTCCCACCCAACCCCCTCCACAACCTGCGAAACTCGCCGCGTCAGGCGAAGTCGTGGCCCTGGAGCTGGACGTGGTGCTCTCCGCCATCGCCCGGGTGCTGCTGACCTTCGCAGGCCGAGACGCCCATGGCCCGTCTGGTCCCAGGCCCCCCCCCACCCCGCCAGGTCGTGGCCGTGCTTCGGCGCTTCGGATAAGCGCATTGGCACAAGAAGCCCCGGAGTTGGCACTTGCCAGGAGCATGATCGGACAACGCTGCGTAAAGTCCGACTGCGTTTGCTGGCTGTTGGGGATGGACCCACACAGAGATCCCACGCACGTGTCAGGCGTCCGAGTGCGGCTCCTCACGGGCCACACGCGCCAGCTGCTGCCCCGCCTGCGGCAGCCGGGCGGCTTTGCCGCGGTGTTCCTCGACGTTTGGGGCTCGCAATACGCGGAGGTCCTGGCGCCCTGGCAAAGGCATCACCCATCACCGGCCTTTTGCCGAACGAACGTCTGAAATGATGTACGATGCCTGGATGCGCGGACCAGGATGAGCAAGTGAGGGCTAGATAAAACCATGGAGCGTTTTTCTTCCCGCTAAGACTTCCAATGGCCCGTTTTCCCGGTTTCCCGGGTTCGTCTCCTGAAAGGAAGGCGGTGTTTTTGGCCCGAGGCCTCGCTGCGGCCCTGCCTGGCGCCGGGGGCGCTGCTCTGCGCGGACAACGTGCTGCGCACAGCCGCCGCAGAGTTCCTGTGGCGCGTGGCCGGCGCCGGGGCGGCGCCAGGCGCAGCTTCTTGGTCCGGGGGGGCAAAGGGAGAAACGAATTGCCCTACGGTTTCCCTGGAGTTTCCACCTGAAGCTTTCTTCTGGGGATACAGCTTTCATTTTGGTGGAGAGTGTGGAATCAAGTGGGCTTGCTTCTGCCTGTCGCCTTTGCAAAGCAGGGAACTGCCTTCCAGCCACCTCTTCACCTGCTCCAGGCTTTCGGACACTTCTGCTACCGGTGACGGAGGTGGTGAAGCAAAGCGAGGAGGACCCACCGGTGACCCCCTTTGTTTGGTGCGCCAAGGGTCGCCTGTGAACACTGGAGCTGGCAGTCCCTGGCTCTGCTTGCGGACATGTCCGAATGCTGCCTGGCGAGCATGAAGCTCAGAAGGTAAGTTTTCACGTCTCCCACTGCGCAGGACTGGATGTCTGTGACTGTGGTGGCCGGGGGTGACCTCAACGTTTTTGAGGCGCCGGGAGGCTTTGTCGAACACAGCAGAGGCCTTGACGCTTTCGAATGCTCTTTAGCGTGTTGTTGGAGAATGGCCCGTTTCACCCTCAACTTGCAAATCAATGAAGCAAAGCCTTTGCAAGGGGCTGGTATCATCAGATGCGATGTATTGGCTGACCAGGTTTGCTTGATGGGAATGCACCGCTTTCGGGTTACAGATCTTGCTGGGGTAGCGGGGTAGGGGGAGCAGTGGAAGAACAGCAGAAACATGTACCTTAGCATGTTACTTTCAAAAATCATAGCCAAGGGAAAGCAGATCCACCTCAGCGGGCAAAGGAGTCAAGTCCATCCGCTGTTGCTGGCTGACAGACATGACTTTAAGACGGTTGAATTTGACACGGCCTCCTTTCTTGTAGTTGATCTCCAAAAAGGGAATCCCATTCAGTAAAAGGAAGCAGGCACATGGCAGGACAACAGGTTGCGAACCAACCGAGCAAACAAACAACAAACCAACAAAGCAAGAAGACCCACACACCAACAAAACAACAAAACAAGCAACAAATCAACACAACAAGCCAATAAACAAATGAACCAGGCCAACAAGCAAACGAAGAAAACAGCAAAACAGCAAAACTTCACAAATCAACACAACTCAATAAAACACACCAAGGCACGGGGAGAGAAGCACTTTGGAGGTTCCGACTTGTCAGGTCCCAGCTCCACTGCTGCAGCTGCAGGCGGCCTCCGAGTTCCTCCGGGCCCGCGCCACCAACGTGGGCGCGGAGCCCGAGGCGCTCTGGGTGGCTCGGTGCGGGGGGGGCGCAGGGGGGGGCGGGGTGGGCACTTGGGATCATTGGGATACTTGGACTGGTAGGGCTTGGAGTACTTTTTACACATGGCATACTTGGACAAAGTGGGAGCAAGTTTGGGACCAAATCCTTTGCACTGGGCAAGTGTGAAATGAATGAATTCCCACTCTGGAAGTGTCGCGAATGGCAGCGGCAAGGCTGGAATTTGGCTGATGGGCCCTTGTTTGATTTGGTTCTTGGCTTGGGGGTGCGTGCAGAATTGAGAGATATGCGAAGTTGGATTTGTGCTTCGAGTCTTTGAGCGACTGGAGGCTTGTTTTGAGGAGGACTACTCTGCGAACCCATTGCTTGCATTCCGATTTTGTTTAAAACATGTCATCCCTCGCTCCTTCAGTTTTTCGCGTCTCTACCGGCCAGGAGTTTGATGACCTGGCGCAGCATGCAAAGCACGTGCTGCGCAGCGTGGGCATTGTGCCCGTGGACGGCGTGTCGTGGGGAAAACGTGTTGCAGCGGATGTAGAAGGGCACTCGGCGCACGACACCGAGGAGCCCAAGATCCCTCGGTTGCAGCACTGATTACGCTTCAATGCCCCCACCTCCCCTGATTCCCATTGGTCGGAACTTGGGGTCTTCATCCAGGGAAACGGGCAGAAGCCTGTCCTCAAGCTACTCAGCTACTCTGAGGTGAGGCTTGGTGGGGCCTTCCACGTGGGTGTGGAGGTGGGCGGAATGGAGTGGCGCGGGGCCCTGATGAGCTTTTCCTGAGTCTTCCCAGGTTGGGAGTTTTCCTGATTGAGTTTTTATTTTTGGTGTGTTTTTTTGTTTGTTTTTTGTTTGGTGTTTTTTTTTGGATTTGTGGCCTGTATGTGCGAGATGAGGTGTTAACTCTACCAGAGTGTTGAGGGTTCCTTCGCATGGTTCCCTTCAAACACCATGCGACAGCACGACGTGTGTACTCTGGAAGACACGCCCCATGTAGTTTGACATAGACCAAGCCCTCAATGCATGACTTTGAAGTGCTGGATGCTGCTAAATAAAGTTGCTTCACAACATTTTGATCAGCTATTCCTGTCAATGTACACTGCCCCAGGACAGGAAGGTGCAATTGGGTATGCTCTGGGGGCGCGTTCCCAAGCAATTCCAGGCCAGATCATCCATTGCTTCCCCGCCTCCCAACTCCGTCAGGTCCTATGGACGCACCTTCCGCGACTCGCGGCCGGGCGGCCAAGAGCGCGCGATAGGCCACTCCAAAGTAGGTCGTGGTTTAGTTCAGTTGCAGGGTCGTTGCTCCTTGCGGCCGCTTATTGGTTGGCCTTCTCTCGCAAGCAAAACGCTTGAATTCAGCAGCATAAGTTTTTTTGCTGTCAACTTGCGCAGGTGCGCGCCCAAGCAAACATGACTTGATGCGCCCACTTGGCAGCCATGGTTAATATGCACCTTCAGTACAGGACCTGGAGCCCCCACTCATCAGTTTTTTTCGGGAAAGGGGAGGTTCCTCACTAAATTCCAAATGTCACTTGCGGGTCCCAACGCGGGCCTAGGGTGCGGATGGCCAGATGGCAGGCTCGCACGCTGTCGTGTGGTCGAGCTGAGGCCGGGCGTGGTGGGCCTACCACCCCGCAAGGACCCGAACCACAGCTACCGCGAGCCAGGGGCCCGGATTGGTGGGTCTCGGGGCTGCTGCCTTCTGTGGAGTGCTGGTGATTGCTCTGTCATGGTTCCTCATCATCAAGCTTCATCTTGCTTTGGTACCCCACTTGGCATGTGTGGGGCTCGGTCCACATATCCAGAAGTCTATGGTCCATTCGGGAGGGACATAGGCGGACTCACTGAATATCCCTCTGAATATCCCCCAATTCAATTGAGCCATGAACCATAAGCCCAGGACCCTGCAGCTGGGTGTCACCGACATGTCGCTGGAGGACGTGAACGAAGTCATTAGCAACATGATCGAGGCCGGACTGGGGGAACCCCCGTGAATGGTGCACATTTATTTTTATTTTTTCCGCTTGAGACGGTGGACGGCTAGAAGCTTTCAGCTCGCTTTGCGCTGCTCTGTGCTGGGGTCGCTTTTGGGCGCAGGCCTTTGATGTGCAAAAACACGACAGGACTACCCTGGCCGCAACTACGATGTCCTGAGGCAGGTCCGACGCAGCACTGTGAAGCCAGTTTTCAAGCTGGAGGGATATGGCGTGGCTCTCATTTCAAGTTTCTCTCAGGGTCTCTTGATCAAGCGAAGCCCTTTGGTGCAATACTCAAAACTTCATTTTGTTCCGGCTTTCTTGAGTATCGGCATCTGTGTGTGTGTGTGTGTGTGTGTGTGTGTGCGTGTGTGCGCGCACATGTTGTCCCTTACGGTGACCGGCCAAACCGCGGTGGCTCAAGGCGGAATGGAATGTTCGCATTGGATTTGTCGAGGGGACATTCCAAATCTCTATGAAAACTTCAGAGTTCCCCACCCTAGAGGCCTCGAGCTTGATGTGTGCACGGAGGGATGCCTTTTGGGCTCCATGGCTGCTTCTGGCACTCGCGTCAGTGTCCCAGTATCAGTCGATGGTGGAAGCTGGCTGCGGCAGCCAGGCGTGATCCGGGTGTTGGGTGCTTTCTCAGCTCTGGCTCAGGGCGTCAAGAACATCTAAAGCAGCATTTGTTTGTGTGTGTGTGTGTGCAAAGAAAGCAGGGCAGCACAAGCGCTAGACAAAGTCATACGGGAGGCAGATATCACAATACAGAAGCAGACCTCCTGGATAAGCCGTTGACACTGCAAAAGCTGGATTGCACTTTGACAGGCACATGTTTTTTGTTTTGTGGAGCTCAATCCAACCTGCACCAGTTAGTAGGTGGTTCATCCCGTATTCATAGAGTGTCATCCATTTCAAAAGGTGCAGGAGGTAGTCCACCCTCAGTAGGCCTGCAGGTGCAATTGCAATGGAGTGTGAGTGAGAGACGTGAGGCTGTGTTCGGCCTCAGAGACTCAAACACCAAGGCCAACTTCTTTTGTTTCGCTGCCACAGGCTTCGCAATCGACGGGCCAAGTGCGGAGCAGGCCTGGGCGGGGAGTGATCACAGCACCTGGCTGCCCATTCTTTGCCGGACAGAGTTGCCTGGACCCACTAGGCTTGATTTGCAGGCTTTTTGTGGGGATAGAACCAGAAGCTGCGCTCAAGCCTCAGCACGTGATTCGCGCTCCCAGCCTGCTTTCATGCGCATGATTTGTGCTTGGGGGCACCACCGTGGCATGAATTGCGCAAGGTGGTCTCGCACAGATCATCACAGCACAAAGTGGTTGTTCGGGGCACAGGATCAGAAGACAGGAGCAGAGATGGTTTGACCAAAAGCAATCACTCGGCCATGGAGCGATGACTCGCATAGCACTGTGGCTGCTGCTGGTTCTCGCCAACGGCCAATATGCGGCCAGGCAGCATCTGGGGGCAAACCGCATACCCTCCAGCCTTTTGTCCAGCAATGAATGCTGCCAAGTTCATGCAGATGGGAAGGCCTTGCTGCCAAACACATTCGCAGGACCGATTTCGCCAATCAAGCATGCGAGAACAAGGGAACAAGAGCAAGCCGCCAGTCAGCCCTGCGTATTATCTTATCTGCTTCCTTCCCGGGGGCCGGGCACGAGGATTGGCCGCTGGACAGCTGCGCCTGCCACATCTTCTACGAGCACTGGGTGCGCATGCAGCTGGTGATCTCCCAAGTGCGCCCAGACCGCAGCGAAGCATGACTCACCAAGGCCAAATTGAGTCATGCACAGCTCTGAGCATGCCAACATAACTCCTGTTTTCCTGTCTTTCATGGGCAATGCGGGTGCATTGCCTGTTACTGGGATTACCAGAGATCTTGGCCGGACACAGCAGCCTTCCTGGCTGACAACACTTCTGTTTTACCTGTCAACACATAATGCTTGTATCGTTAGGTGTCACTGTGCGCAACCGGTGTAGGACTTGTCAAAGCCGCAGTCCCTCAGAGCCAAGGTTCACGGCAGACTTTGCAGACCAGGCACGATTGTTGGGGCCTCTCCAGGTTGAATTGTTGGATTTTGAAGGTCTTGATAAGGCGCGGAGCCTTTGTCGTGACCAGTCGGGATGCAGTTGCAGCAGCATCTCATTGATCCTTCACTTGTTTGTTTCACCTTCAGAATTCAGTGTTGGTTACCCGGTTCCAAGATGTTTGTTGTTTTGCTGGATGGTGTTAGCTGCGGGTCTACATAGGATCATGCACTGCTTCGGCCTGTCTGCTGTTGCAGCTGCCGCTGCCGAAGCTGCTGCAACTGGTATTTACATTTGCTGCCTGAATTGGTTGATCTGCAAATGGTCTCCTTTTTTTAGATTTTCCCACAAGGGGCTCCCTCTTCCGAGACCGAGCCCCGTTCCACGCGTCAAACTCTGCGCCAGGCCTTGGCCTCCGCCGCCGTGCGGGAGGCTCTGGCCTTCGACTCCTGCCGGGACCTGCGGAAGGCGCCGGCGGTGTTCCACGCGTTTCATTCGCCGTCCGGGTTTTGGTTGGGGAATTTTTTGAGCCTGCGTTTGGGCTCATCTGAGTTCAGCGCTCAATGGCTATCAGTGTGTTGAGTTGTGCGCACGTACCAAAGGACATATTATGTTTCTGCATAATGATATGGACAACGTCAAAGCCTGGGTGTGCCAAACATGCTTTTGGAATCTTCTCAAAACGAGTTAGAACCCTCCATGTGGCAACAGTTCCATGTAGGTCTCCTTTCAAAGCGGAGCACAAAGTTGTCCCTACTTCCTACCCTCCTCAATTTCATCTACTAATTACAGTGGAGATCTTTTCTTCCGTTGCTGAAATGTAAGGAGCACGTGAGCACGTGACCAACCACCATTTGGAGAGTCTCTTATGTCAGACATGTCCAAGGCACCAGCAGGGGTGTAGGTGTTGCGGCAGTGGCATTCGTGTGAATTGGTGGGCCGGAGCTTGTCTTGTTGGCGCAGGATATGGAAGTGCAAAGCTGTCAAGCTGTAAGTTGAAGCGGGCGTCATGCTCTTCACATTCGGCCATGTCCAAGATCGCCAGATACTTCATGTGCTTTCATGGGTGCCAAAGACACATCAGACGTGCGCGGGCTCAGTCGAGGGGCCAGCTTCGTAGGTGGAGAACTCGCTGGCCTGGACGGTGTCCACGGCCGCGCAGACCGACTGCGCGCCGGGGCAGATGAGCCCGGGACTCGTTCCGGGCCGCGTCACTTCGGGGCCGGGGGACGCCGACCTGCGGCTGAGCCAAGATCTGTTTGTTTCAAAGTCATCGGAATCGTTTGGGGCTGGGGCTAATGTTGGGATTCCGATGGCCCAGGTAGCTTCATCATGTGCTCACAGTCAGCATTGCTGAAGGGCGACTTGGAGTCGGCTCGCCTCTACTCAGAGATCGCAACTCGGACACCAGGGTGATTTGAAAGAAGCTACCCGGTCTGTCGATACTGAGAGAAGCTGTTCACATTTGCCTGCTTCATGCTTGCGCCAGAGAAGAACCTGTAAGTTGACAAGATGACGTGCCATCGCTTGCTCTTCGGCAGCTGAGGCCAACTATCAGCTGCCTTTTGCTGCCAATTGCTTGGCCCTGAGCGGGGAAGGGGTTTTCCGGAGCTTCTCGCTTGCTTATCCCCGCTCGTTTTTGGTCTTAGGCATGGATGCGGCCCAATGGACCTTCCGACCGGAGGAAACGGAGCATGCGTGAGTGCGTGTGGGCCCGTTTTTGGTTTCTTCCCTATCCGAGTCTGGATCCATGTTCAGGTCGGCTTGAGGGCTTGAAGCTCAAGCCACCCGGGCTCAAACGAAACTAAACCCCGTGAAGACACGGCCCGTTCCTTGCGGGTGGTGGAAGCTGCCCGTCGCTTGGCCCGCTCGGCAGGACGTGCAGCGGAACCACCGAACCCTGATGCGCTTCGCCCTGCAGCGGGAGCTGGCGGGGCAGGAGGGGCCTCTGACGCCGGAGGAGGCGGGGAGACGTGTGCGATTGGTTCACTGTCCCCATTTGTCTGGGACAGTCGGCATGTTTTCTCCCATATGTCATATTAGTCAGGGTTGCAAGAAGCAGATTGCTCGGGGCAGGGACGCGGCAGCTGGGCGGGAGAGAATAGAAAGAAAGGGACAAGCGTAAATAACTAATTCATTTTTGTTGCTCTCTGGCCTCTTCCCCTCTTCCTCGACAGATCCACGCTGGAACCTTTTTGTGACCTCACCTCGCCCCAGTACCCCCGCACTGCCAGGTCCGAGGGCTCCTGTGGCGCTTCGATTGAGCCGAAGCCCAAGCGCGGCTTTTCGCCTCCTGCGAGCTGCCATCGGACGCGATCGAGTCAGACGCGATGTCCGCCTGGATGCGGCCGGCGGACTGCGTGGAGAGGTCTGCCTAGGGGATCGAGCCTGCCAAAATGGCGAAGATGCGCGTTGGCCAAGTCCCGATTGCCGTGAGCTCGTGAACCGCAAGGCCACTCTGCAGGAGGAAAAGAAGGGTTTGCGGCTCGTGCATTGAGAGTCACTCTTCAGAGTACGAGGGTGGCGTGCTTTTCCGTGCCTGATGTTGGGATTTGGACCAGTGCCTTTAAGGGCAGCCCAGCCGCAGGTGGACAGGAGCTCGGGGGCAGACGAAGCTGCGAGCGCGGAGCAAAAAATGTTCCTCGCCCTCTCGGACACCAGGAACTTGGGATGCCTTTGAAAGAAACACCATGGGGAAATCGGATCTGTGTCCAAGCACCTCAGGCAGCTTTGAGATTTACGAACTGCCCACTGCACCCGTTGCGTGTTCCTACAGCCCGTCTCTGTTTGACAGATTTTGTTTGACAGTTCTTCACGGTGTTTTGCATGGTTCTTCAAACGGGAGTTGATCTTTTCTTTCGGCATCATGTCAAAGGCCACTCGTCGGCCGTGACTGCTCCTTTGTGCCGCAGCTGTTTGTCCGGAGCGGTCTTTAGACCATGTCAAGGCGGGGCTTTCGCACTGGGAAGCCCCAGAAATAAGGTCAGGCAGGCAGTGAAGGCGCCTGGATAAAAATCAGAAGCCAAAACCAAGACCTGAGCAATTGAAGGTTGACGGAGACGCTCCCCGCCCTCGCAATGCCAGTTTTTTGGTGGGCGAGTTGTTTACCTACTAGGTTTCGGATGTGGCTCATTTGAGAGTGACTTGCAGCGAGATGGAATGAGCAGCACCTACGCGGAGAGTGCATTTGTCCTGAATCGCCGATTCTTGCCCATGAACCACTTGCACCTCGGATCTACAGTTGAGTCCTTTGCTTGATGTGGGTATGTGTCAGAACGCAGAGCCCTCTCGGAGGGGTTGAAATGCTTGCAATCCCGGCTCCTCTCCTGAGATTTGCCCAACAAGCGCCAGATGGCTGCACCACAGCGTTTTCCGGGTTTATTCGAGAAAGTCAAGAACTGCTGTTCTGTTGGGTACAGGCTAGATCATTAGCACGGCTTTTCAGTTCAGTTGGCCAGGGCCGTTCAGACGCCGATGGCCTACTCGGCTTTGATACCGGCTACGGCCGGTGATGAAGAGGACGGGGAATCCCTTGCGCACTGCACCGAATGGATCTCCGATCTTCACCTGCCCACATGCTTTTTGGCGAAGTGCTTTGATAGGCCTGGTACAAAGCCTGTGTTGGATTGACCAGTCTTGAATGCCAACACCAATCCACGCTCGCCAACAGATGTTCAACTGGGCCATCGAGAGTTTTGAGAAACCGGGATCTTGATCGGGCCGAGATTGTTGATAGTCAGTTGTCACTGGCGCGTACCCGGCGGCATCTTGGTATTGGTTTGCGTCAATGCGCGCGCACAAGTATTTATGTTGCAACATGTTGCAACACATTCCGAAATATTTTTCATCCGCGACTTGTGGTTCGATTTCCCGTGGCTTGCCTTTCTCAGAAGTTTTTCCCCAGGGTTCTTCTCGTAAGTTTGCGTGGTCTCCGCACAGAGAGATGCACAGAGGGTGCAGGAGGAGACTGAACAAAGAAGCCGCACTGAGAGTTTGCCCCCAAGAGATTGCGCAGGTTTCACAAAGAGATTGTGCAGGGTGCACAGTTTGCAAACCACTCTGTGAAGATGCGACGTCAGTGCAAAACAACCCAATGACTATGTATCACTTTGCTGGAGATGCTCATGCATGTTCGCCTGAGATGTTAGTAACACAGCTTATTGAGACTTGGATGGGGCGGTTGATGCTCTAAATCATGTTAAGCCAACGCCATGGAGCCTTGAATTTGCTTGGCGACCGCTGTGCAATGGGAACGGCTGGGTTTGACTGGGAGTCGCACGCACCCTGGTGCCCATTCATACAGGTTCTACTTCAGTTCCAGCTCAGCATGAACCATTGTTGATTCCCCACCTATCGCAAGCAAGGCAACCCCAAACCAGGATAAGTTACCGGGTGTTCTAACTAGTTCCCCACTTGCTTGAGCGAACAATCTCCATCGAAACAACATTTCAGTCTTTGCCCACCTGCTGGCTTCCAAATTCCTTTCATGCAGACTTTGGCAGGGGACACTTTCGAAGGACTGGGTTAAAACTGCTGGTGCAACAGGCAGGGAATGAGGAATGAACCTACAATCTCATTAAACAAAAAAGAACCAGGGATGGTTTATAGAAGTCTTATAGCCGTTGTTTCTGCTTCACTGATTCACCCGGGAGGGGGAACTTGAGAGGAGCTGCTTCCGCCCTTGGAGACCGTGGAGCGACGAGGCGAGGTCGTGCTTCGGTTTTCCTGCGGTTTCGCTTTGTAAAGAGGGATGAACAATGAGAACCTTTGGCATGTTTCGAACTTTTGACATGTCCAGCACAACAGGTATGCAGATCCTGATTAGTTGACCATTCTGTTCGGCCCCTGGCTTGATGGTTTGGGCCATGCCACCAGGTCCAACAAGAGGCACCACCGTGACAAATCCCCTAAACACATCGCATCATGGCACATGCTCGCCCAGCCTCCACGCACTGGACAGCAAGAAACACCATGTGCGCAAGTCTGGAGCTCAATAACTCAGCTCATTCAAGTTGGAATCCGAGCCCGTATGCTCAGCGCGCTAGAGTTTGAGCAATGCTCCAAGTCATTGCTGCGCGGCCTCAAATTCAGGGAGCTGCGCAGCACATCCACCAGCGGCAACTTGAGCCGTGTTCAGCCTTTCCTTCATGGCTGGCGGGTGCTGTACGCATTTTCACACTACACCCTTCTTGTTGCCAATGGTGAATATGGACGGTTGACAAACGTGGGGCGCTTCGCTTCGTAAATCCTGTTTGCCACTGGCAACCTATTGGTGCCCGCATATGGCCTCATCTTGGCACTCAGCTTTCCTCCCATCATCAGTCCGATGGTTTTCGTAGAAACTGTCGGATCCTACGAATGTGACCCTCGGATCCTTCGAGTTGTTCGGGCGGCCTTGGCAGAGGCAGACCGTGGGTATGGCGCACTGTCGGCGGGCTGAGCGCCCAGCGGTTTGGCGAATCGGGGAGGGGGGGTGACGAGCAGCGACCAAGGGGGGCTGGGATTTTACATCTTTGCGCTAGATGTGTTTGTTCCTGCTGGTCATGAGAAAGAGACTGAATCACCATCTTTGTTGTGGGCATTGGGCCCAGGGCAGGGCAATCCCAGCATGAAGTGACAAGGGCAAATGACAGTGACGCCTCGCCATTGTCGCATTTAGACCATCGTGAAATCTCGCAAGGAACACGAGCTTGGGCCTGGCTCCCGCCAAAGACCCGCAGTGAAACACTTTCAGCGCAAATCGGATACTGCACAGCAAGTCGTTTGCTTTAACATGTCGCTGACTACATGCCATCTGGCAGTTGCTGAGTGGACAGCCACAATGCAACACGTTAGATCAGGGCAGGCTTGAAGAGGACTGGAGCACAAGTTGTAGCGTTGAGCTGGATTACCGAGGCTGGTGGCGGCGGCGGCCATGGCGGCCCTGTTCCTGAACAGGCATCCGGACATTGACGGAGCTGCTTAAAAAGGCTTGAACCAGCGCGGCTTGAAGCCTCTGGAAGGCCTGAGCCAATCAAAACCCGGGTAGATGAAGGGTAGCAAGGGACAATAACCATAAATAGCTTCGGATATCCGCCTTCTTAGTTCTTTACATGGTTCTGGGTCGGCCATTTTAGTACCGGGTTTGGATTGTGACTCACCTGTTCCCTGCAAGGGGACCAGCGTCTTGTTAATGACCACTTCGATCGGTGAGATGGCTCCACTCCACACGCTGATGCGGCGCTCTGCGCTATGTCAGTCTCACAACGTTTTAACCAGCTCTGAATACACCACAGGCAAATTAGGCATATCGGGCAACGACGTTGGTTGATCATATCGGCCAATCTGCAAACACAGAGACTGTTCAATGCTCAATTCCTCCATCCATCCACGCCAGTTCATGACCCAACTTGGAGACCGGAAACTGTTCGCCCGGTCAGGTCCTCCAGCGATGTCTCGGATGTGCGCCATGCACAGGCAGGCCGTGGATTTGCAGCTTGGTTTCCGAATTGGCTGTCCTCCAACTGGCCGGGCCCCAGGTTTAATTTTGGATGTTTTTCAAGACCAAACAAACAAGGATGCCTTGCTGGTCTTTGCGAGGCACTCCCCCCTGCAAGGCGCATGAAGAAGTGTTTCGGCCGCCCGCGGCGCATGCGGTCTTACAAAGTGCCAGGCAGAGTTTGCGCAAGGCGGCGGCGGGATGATGATCGCTGATCATCAGGCCGGAGCTTACCAAGTCATGCAGCGCAACCGTGCCACGATGTTTAAAGTGCTAGTTTTGAAGGCAAGCTCGCAATGGGTGACTGTTTTGCCAGCGAAGTTGAGATTCCATTTCGACAAGCATACACGTGTTGGACCATCGACGTGGCAATGCTGACATTGGTGGAAATGGGGGTCGAGCTGTGCTTTCTGCACACATGTGGACGCGTTTTTCAGGGTGGCTCTGGCTCTTTCCACGGTGAGTGGCACGTCGGGAGCCCAGATGTGTCTCTTGAGCCATGGCTGCATCGACCATCGGCATTGTTCACCAACCTTGCCGTTGCCAGGGCCACGGATCTATCGGTGGATCTCATGATGCCGCGGCCTTATTTGCTGCAAATGCACAGCTGCTTGAAGTGAAAGGCAATCTAGCATGTTGCACAGCGCATGAAGGCAGATGGCTCGTTCGGCGGACACGGATCTCATGTGGAGGCGGGTGATGAGATATGGGAGCTTCTTGCGATGACATGCATGTGGACACAGACTGGGCTTGCACTTAAGTTCAGCTGGAAGACACAATGAATGATAGTCTTGTCCAGCCTGAGCTTTGGCAGATTATGCGGAGAGACTGACATTGGTGGAAATGGGGGTCGAGCTGTGCTTTCTGCACGCATGTGGACGCGTTTTTCAGGGTGGCTCTGGCTCTTTCCACGGTGAGTGGCACGTCGGGAGCCCAGATGTGTCTCTTGAGCCATGGCTGCATCGACCATCGGCGTTGTTCACCAACCTTGCCGTTGCCAGGGCCACGGATCTATCGGTGGATCTCATGATGCCGCGGCCTTATTTGCTGCAAATGCACAGCTGCTTGAAGTGAAAGGCAATCTAGCATGTTGCACAGCGCATGAAGGCAGATGGCTCGTTCGGCGGACACGGATCTCATGTGGAGGCGGGTGATGAGATATGGGAGCATCTTGCGATGCATGCATGTGGACACAGACTGGGCTTGCACTTAAGTTCAGCTGGAAGACACAATGAATGATAGTCTTGTCCAGCCTGAGCTTAGGCAGATTCTGCGGAGAGACTGACATTGGTGGAAATGGGGGTCGAGCTGTGCTTTCTGCACGCATGTGGACGCGTTTTTCAGGGTGGCTCTGGCTCTTTCCACGGTGAGTGGCACGTCGGGAGCCCAGATGTGTCTCTTGAGCCATGGCTGCATCGACCATCGGCATTGTTCACCAACCTTGCCGTTGCCAGGGCCACGGATCTATCGGTGGATCTCATGATGCCGCGGCCTTATTTGCTGCAAATGCACAGCTGCAGCGAGAGAGAGAGAGAGAGAGAGAGAGAGAGAGAGCGAGCGAGAGAGGGCGAGAGAGGGAGAGAGGGAGCTAGCGAGCGAAGGGTGTGAATGCATTCCAACCGGTGCAATGAAATCCTGGACATTCATCTCTCAATCTCTTCCCAACATTACCTTCTCCAAGTTTTAAAACGTGCATGAGAGAGCTTCTTTAACTCTCGCATATTATGGGAACTGCATCCGTGGGAGGAGAGGAGAAGGAATAGGTGAGTGCAGGAAGCTGAACTTGGCTTTCGGGCCTACTATACAATCTGAAAGAATCTTCTGGAGGGAGCCCTTCACCGTTACCCAAGCTGAGCGAGTTACCGCGCATAGCGTATCCAGGTGGGCGGCTCGTCCGGCGGCCACGGATCTAATACGGAGGCAGGTGATGAGATAAAGCAGCATCTTCCGATTTTGCATGTAGTTCTGCAGCATTCGGGGAGAGACTTGGAGACTTGGCTTAGTCCCTCCAGGCGTCATACTCCCCCTGCCCACCCGGGCACGTGCATCAGTGCGGCGGCCTCGGGGTAATGCGAGCTTAGCCACTTCAGCCGGAGTTGGTCAAGTACTTGTTGAAACCAACATGATGGCTTTACCATTTGAAGGGGTCACCATAAACTCAACCCGACTGGGCAACAAAGCTGTGATGAAACCTGTTGCCCAAGGCCCGGCGGAGTGGAGCAGCCCTGGCAACGCGGGCGGGTACCACTGCTGCTCGGATGGCTAGGAGATGGACCTTTCTCTTGGGATCAAAGTTCACAGACGCCTCCATTGCCATTGAGGCCTTCACAAGCTTGCGAACCAGGCGTCCACCGCCGCTTACGTGAGGCAGGGCGTGCTCTGGAGTCGTCGTTGCGAGCCACGAATCACTCCCAGCGGTTCTGCAAGAGCTTTGCCAGCTCCGGCGGTGCCTGCCGCCCTGCGGCTCACGGGCCCTTCCCCTTCGAGGACTGCCAAGCCGCTGCCCGAGTCGGAGGAATGGGGGGTTTCCCAAGTTTCTAGGCAAACGATTCAAATGATTGTGGCCCCATTTCAGAGGGAGAGACACGCGGGCAATTCGACATGCTCGCGTCTGAGGTCCAGTGCGGCCCTCGCCTTAGACCTCGATCGCTGGGGGCTCTTGGGGCCTCGGCAGCTAAGGCCTTGGCAAGGTTGGGGGCACGGAGCACACAGAGGCCTGACAAGGGGCAACGGCTCTTTTCCGACCGACCCTCACTGGGAATTTTGGAGGATCCTTGCAAACCATTGTGCCGCTGTTCAGGGCCATGGAGGCTCCGCGAACGGCGAGTGGGGCGTCCGCAACCCAGATGCGCAGTGGGAGACGAAGGGCCGAGAGTGGCTGCGTTTGGACGCGACAAATGCGTTGACATGTGGGACCACGAGATTGCTTCAGGGGCACGGCGGCTCCTGGAGTGAGGGAGGAGACGCCCGGGCCTTATTTGTCAAGAGACTGATTTGCCGTGAAAGACGTGTCATCCTTGAAAGGGGAGTTTCAACACATTGCAAGGGTTTCGATTTAGGCGAGCGCAACCAAAGTTTTTATCAACGGACCTTTGACTGCCGGTCTTGCTATGCTGGCCCTGCCATGCTGGCCTGGTTTGTTGTGCCTGAAAGTAAGGCGGACTTCGGACACGGATCTCATGTTGAGGCGGGCGGGATGTGTAAGGCTTTGGGAGTTATTTCAAGGGCCGCTTTGAGGCTGTGATAGTTTTACGCGGGAAGGACACGACTAGCCAAAAAACAGCCTCGTCGCTCAGATGTGTTGAGAGAGCGAGCGAGAGAGAGAGAGAGAGAGAGCGCGAGAGAGAGCGTGGGCGGACTTTGCAGTCTGGGAGTTGGCACCTTGTCAGGGCCATGGAGGCTCCGCGAACGGCGAGTGGGGCGTCCGCAACCCAGATGCGCAGTGGGAGACAAAGGGCCGAGAGTGGCTGCGTTTGGACGCGACAAATGCGTTGACATGTGGGACCACGAGATTGCTTCAGGGGCACGGCGGCTCCTGGAGTGAGAGCGGAGACGCCCGGGCCGTATTTGTCAAGAGACCTGTTTTGCCGTGAAAGACGTGTCATCCTTGAAAGGGGAGTTTCAACACATTGCAAGGGTTTCGATTTAGGCGAGCGCAACCAAAGTTTTTAGCAGCGGACCTTTGACTGCCGGTCTTGCTATGCTGGCCCTGCCATGCTGGCCTGGTTTGTTGTGCCTGAAAGTAAGGCGGACTTCGGACACGGATCTCATGTTGAGGCGGGCGGGATGTGTAAGGCTTTGGGAGTTATTTCAAGGGCCGCTTTGAGGCTGTGATAGGTTGAGAGAGCGAGAGAGAGAGAGAGAGAGAGAGCGCGAGAGAGAGCGTGGGCGGACTTTGCAGTCTGGGAGTTGGCACCTTGTCAGGGCCATGGAGGCTCCGCGAACGGCGAGTGGGGCGTCCGCAACCCAGATGCGCAGTGGGAGACGAAGGGCCGAGAGTGGCTGCGTTTGGATGCGACAAATGCGTTGACACGGGACCACGAGATGGCTTCAGGGGCACGGCGGCTCCTGGAGTGAGAGCGGAGACGCCCGGGCCTTATTTGTCAAGAGACCTGTTTTGCCGTGAAAGACGTGTCATCCTTGAAAGGGGAGTTTCAACACATTGCAAGGCTTTCGATTTAGGCGAGCGCAACCAAAGTTTTTATCAACGGACCTTTGACTGCCGGTCTTGCTATGCTGGCCCTGCCATGCTGGCCTGGTCTGTTGTGCCTGAAAGTAAGGCGGACTTCGGACACGGATCTCATGTTGAGGCGGGCGGGATGTGTTAGGCTTTGGGAGTTATTTCAAGGGCCGCTTTGAGGCTGTGATAGTTTTACGCAGGAAGGACACGACTAGCCAAAAAACAGCCTCGTCGCTCAGATGCGTTGAGAGAGCGAGAGAGAGAGAGAGAGAGAGAGAGAGAGAGCGCGAGAGAGAGCGTGGGCGGACTTTGCAGTCTGGGAGTTGGCACCTTGTCAGGGCCATGGAGGCTCCGCGAACGGCGAGTGGGGCGTTCGCAACCCAGATGCGCAGTGGGAGACGAAGGGCCGAGAGTGGCTGCGTTTGGACGCGACAAATGCGTTGACATGTGGGACCACGAGATTGCTTCAGGGGCACGGCGGCTCCTGGAGTGAGAGCGGAGACGCCCGGGCCTTATTTGTCAAGAGACCTGATTTGCCGTGAAAGACGTGTCATCCTTGAAAGGGGAGTTTCAACACATTGCAAGGGTTTCGATTTAGGCGAGCGCAACCAGAGTTTTTATCAACGGACCTTTGACTGCCGGTCTTGCTATGCTGGCCCTGCCATGCTGGCCTGGTTTGTTGTGCCTGAAAGTAAGGCGGACTTCGGACACGGATCTCATGTTGAGGCGGGCGGGATGTGTAAGGCTTTGGGAGTTATTTCAAGGGCCGCTTTGAGGCTGTGATAGTTTTACGCGGGAAGGACACGACTAGCCAAAAAACAGCCTCGTCGCTCAGATGCGTTGAGAGAGCGAGAGAGAGAGAGAGAGAGAGAGCGCGAGAGAGAGCGTGGGCGGACTTTGCAGTCTGGGAGTTGGCACCTTGTCAGGGCCATGGAGGCTCCGCAAACGGCGAGTGGGGCGTCCGCAACCCAGATGCGCAGTGGGAGACGAAGGGCCGAGAGTGGCTGCGTTTGGATGCGACAAATGCGTTGACACGGGACCACGAGATTGCTTCAGGGGCACGGCGGCTCCTGGAGTGAGAGCGGAGACGCCCGGGCCTTATTTGTCAAGAGACCTGTTTTGCCGTGAAAGACGTGTCATCCTTGAAGGGGGAGTTTCAACACATTGCAAGGGTTTCGATTTAGGCGAGCGCAACCAAAGTTTTTATCAACGGACCTTTGAGTGAGGCGGACTTCGGCCACGGATCTCATTTTCAGGCGGGTGATGAGATGTAGGAGTACTTGTAGGAGCAGCATGTGGTCTAGTTTAGCTAGGAGATTGGCCATCGGGAATCAAGCGTTGTCAGGCAGCAACATTAGATTGGTCTGGAGAACATGGGGAATGGGAGACAGTTCCGGAAACTATTGGGCATGAAAGCTGACCATGACATGTGACAATGAGACAATGAATGTTAGCCTTGTCCAAATCTCGAAGAACGGGCTGTTAGGCAGATTATGCGGAGAGACTGACATTGGTGGAAATGGGGGTTCGGGCTGTGCTTTCTGCACGCATGTGGACGCGTTTTTCAGGGTGGCTCTGGCTCTTTCCACGGTGAGTGGCACGCCGGGAGCCCAGATGTGTCTCTTGAGCCATGGCTGCATCGACCATCGGCATTGTTCACCAACCTTGCCGTTGTGAGGGCCACGGATCTATCGGTGGATCTCATGATGCCGCGGCCTTAGTTGCTGCAAATGCACAGCTGCTTGAAGTGAAAGGCAATCTAGCATGTTGCACAGCGCATGAAGGCAGATGGCTCGTTCGGCGGACACGGATCTCATGTGGAGGCGGGTGATGAGATATGGGAGCATCTTGCGATGTATGCATGTGGACACAGACTGGGCCTGCACTTAAGTTCAGCTGGAAGACACAATGAATGATAGTCTTGTCCAGCCTGAGCTTAGGCAGATTCTGCGGAGAGACTGACATTGGTGGAAATGGGGGTTCGGGCTGTGCTTTCTGCACGCATGTGGACGCGTTTTTCAGGGTGGCTCTGGCTCTTTCCACGGTGAGTGGCACGCCGGGAGCCCAGATGTGTCTCTTGAGCCATGGCTGCATCGACCATCGGCATTGTTCACCAACCTTGCCGTTGCCAGGGCCACGGATCTATCGGTGGATCTCATGATGCCGCGGCCTTATTTGCTGCAAATGCACAGCTGCAGCGAGAGAGAGAGAGAGAGAGAGAGAGCGAGCGAGAGAGGGCGAGAGAGGGAGAGAGGGAGCTAGCGAGCGAAGGGTGTGAATGCATTCCAACCGGTGCAATGAAATCCTGGACATTCATCTCTCAATCTCTTCCCAACATTACCTTCTCCAAGTTTTAAAACGTGCATGAGAGAGCTTCTTTAACTCTCGCATATTATGGGAACTGCATCCGTGGGAGGAGAGGAGAAGGAATAGGTGAGTGCAGGAAGCTGAACTTGGCTTTCGGGCCTACTATACAATCTGAAAGAATCTTCTGGAGGGAGCCCTTCACCGTTACCCAAGCTGAGCGAGTTACCGCGCATAGCGTATCCAGGTGGGCGGCTCGTCCGGCGGCCACGGATCTAATACGGAGGCAGGTGATGAGATAAAGCAGCATCTTCCGATTTTGCATGTAGTTCTGCAGCATTCGGGGAGAGACTTGGAGACTTGGCTTAGTCTCTCCAGGCGTCATACTCCCCCTGCCCACCCGGGCACGTGCATCAGTGCGGCGGCCTCGGGGTAATGCGAGCTTAGCCACTTCAGCCGGAGTTGGTCAAGTACTTGTTGAAACCAACATGATGGCTTTACCATTTGAAGGGGTCACCATAAACTCAACCCGACTGGGCAACAAAGCTGTGATGAAACCTGTTGCCCAAGGCCCGGCGGAGTGGAGCAGCCCTGGCAACGCGGGCGGGTACCACTGCTGCTCGGATGGCTAGGAGATGGACCTTTCTCTTGGGATCAAAGTTCACAGACGCCTCCATTGCCATTGAGGCCTTCACAAGCTTGCGAACCAGGCGTCCACCGCCGCTTACGTGAGGCAGGGCGTGCTCTGGAGTCGTCGTTGCGAGCCACGAATCACTCCCAGCGGTTCTGCAAGAGCTTTGCCAGCTCCGGCGGTGCCTGCCGCCCTGCGGCTCACGGGCCCTTCCCCTTCGAGGACTGCCAAGCCGCTGCCCGAGTCGGAGGAATGGGGGGTTTCCCAAGTTTCTCGGCAAACGATTCAAATGATTGTGGCCCCATTTCAGAGGGAGAGACGGCGCACGCGGGCAATTCGACATGCTCGCGTCTGAGGTCCAGTGCGGCCCTCGCCTTAGACCTCGATCGCTGGGGGCTCTTGGGGCCTCGGCAGCTAAGGCCTTGGCAAGGTTGGGGGCACGGAGCACACAGAGGCCTGACAAGGGGCAACGGCTCTTTTCTGACCGACCCTCACTGGGAATTTTGGAGGATCCTTGCAAACCATTGTGCCGCTGTTCAGGGCCATGGAGGCTCCGCGAACGGCGAGTGGGGCGTCCGCAACCCAGATGCGCAGTGGCCGAGAGTGGCTGCGTTTGGACGCGACAAATGCGTTGACATGTGGGACCACGAGATTGCTTCAGGGGCACGGCGGCTCCTGGAGTGAGAGCGGAGACGCCCGGGCCTTATTTGTCAAGAGACTGATTTGCCGTGAAAGACGTGTCATCCTTGAAGGGGGAGTTTCGACACATTGCAAGGCTTTCGATTTAGGCGAGCGCAACCAAAGTTTTTATCAACGGACCTTTGACTGCCGGTCTTGCTATGCTGGCCCTGCCATGCTGGCCTGGTTTCTTGTGCCTGAAAGTGAGGCGGACTTCGGCCACGGATCTCATGTTGAGGCGGGCGGGGTGTGTAAGGCGTAAGGTTTGGGATGGCAGTTTCAAGCAGGAGGCACACCTGCAGTGATTTCATTTTCTTTCGGAAGCGCGGCTGCGAGAGCCTTTCGGAAAGTCTCACGTTTTCAACTCTGCCACAAAAACAAATCCACGCCGCTCAGATGCGACGCTAGATGGAGAGGGAGAGAAAGAGAGAGAGAGAGAGAGAGGAAAAGCAAGAGAACAACAGCGAGGGCAAGTGGGGCGTGCTTCGCAGTCTGGGAGTTGGCGCCTTGTCAGGGCGAGTGGGGCGGTGTCCGCATCCCAGATGCGCGGTGGGAGACAGCTCAGATTCGCTTAGATGCATTCAACCGCCCGGTTAGGGTCACGGGGGCTCCTGGTCCGGTGATGCCTGGGCCTCGTTCACGATGGGAGATGTGGTTAGCCGTGAAAGGCTGTGGTCGTCCTTGACTGAATGGAGTTTGGACATATTGTAAGGCTTTCGATTAACGCGACCGAAATCGCCACGAGGAACCCCTGACTGCTGGTCTTACAAGTGCCTGCTGCGGCCATGCTGTGCCAAGAAACATGTCAAGGTTGGCCCGGTTTTTCGTGCCCGTGCCTGCTGGTTCATAGGTGCACTTCGGCCACGCAATTCATGCTCAGGCGGGCGGGATGTGCAAGGTTTGGGAATCATCCCAAGGATCGTTTTGAGTTAATGGCAGTGCAGGAGGCACACCTGCATTGTACTGCATGCAGTGACTTCCTTTTCTGTTGGAAGTGTGGCCGCGAGAGCCTTTCGGAAAGTATCAAGTTTTCAACTCTGTAGATGGGCAAAAACCATGCAGATTGGCCAACACATGAATGCCACGTGTAAAGACAGAGAGATAGAGAGCGAGAGAGAGAAGGAACGGCTTTGGGCGTATGGGTGTTCGGAGACACGGCTGCAGCTGCCTTTTTCTTTTGGGTAAATGAATGCAGCAACTCTTGCGGCTGAGGATGGGAACGTACTAAGCCATATTTGCCTCCGCCCCTTGTGGGCCACTTGTCAGTGGCGTGGATCTGGGGGCAGACTTTGTTCCGGAGGCAAAGCCGGGCTGGAAGTGGGACGACGAGCAGCAGACCTTTGTGCCCGACGGCTCGGGCTCCGCGGACCGGGTGGGCGAATCTGCAGTCACTCGTGACCTTGGGACTGAAGTTCCATGCTTGGCCCCTTTCTGCCATTCGGGCTCCAGACTCGGAGGGATCCAATCTGAGATTGCCGGTAAGAGCCAGGTGTCTCTGGGTTCCATGGGGCGAACGCCAGGACTGGTCTAGCGACTCAGCCGACTTTGGCGGCGAGGCTGGGGTGCCTTAGATCCCTGGGAGATGAACCACTTCGGAGCTTTGTACTCCGAATTCCGACCGTACTGCATCATAGGCAGGTTCTTCCCCAGCATCGGCCCGGCAGGAGAGCACGGGCTTGACTCGGGACCCCGAGTATTTCACTCGGGACTGGACCTGGGACCCCGAGAAGAAGGTCTTCCACAGCGAGGCGGCGTGTTTCAAATCCCGGAAACGGAGGGGTCTCGTCCGTATGAGACAGACACACCTTGAGAGCCTTCCTGTAGGCTGTGACATGTTTGCCATGGTGCACTTTGCAAGCCACTTGCCTCGATGACACCATCTAAACTGGGAAGGGGATTGGGTCTTTCTAAAGCCCAGCACATCGGAATCCACTCTTTACGCTGGGCAAAAGATTGGCTCGAGCGAGAAACCGCGCGCGCTGGGGCACTGTGCAGGGCCACAAGGACTTTGACTTCTCTGGCTGGTTCTGGCACGACGATTCCTTCCACCACAAGGGCAAGGCCATTGGGGGGGGAGAGGGCCTGCCGTGAGGGAGACCAGGAGCGAGCCTAGCGGTTCACTTAAGTCTCGGTGGGCTGCCTTGGCGTTGATCATTTGCATGCTGTCTTACCGACATGGTGATGTGTCCCTGAGAGTATAAGCATGCCGACTTGCAGAGAACCTTCTGTTCACCACTACTATTCAGTGAGTTCTGCGCTTAGGCTTGGTTTCTCCGGGGTAATGAGCAACAGGCACCCCACCAGACACAGGACGCTGATGGCTGGCACTGGGACAAGGACCTGCACATGTTCGTGCACGGCGAGGCGCGCAGGTCCCGGAGTTCCGTCCGAACATTGGACCCACACAGCAAGTGGTTGGCTACCTACACATCGGAGATATGCACTCACAAGGGTTGTTTGCAACCCGACTGACACATCGTCTTGGGGAACAGAGCCTGGAACACGGACAACACCCCTATGTGGCTGGCCATTCAACATATCATGAAACACACATATATATATATATATATATATGCACATACATATATATATATATATATATGCTACCCCCCCCCAGTACCCAGGTGTTATTGCATCATGTATCAAAACCATTGATATTTACGGTGTATTTTGCTTGAACTCATGCATTTTCTGCAAGGCCATTTTGTGGACCAAAAAAACCAAAAACCCAACACACCAAAACCAAAAAACAAAAAAGCAAAAAACCAAAAAAACAAAAGCCCAAAAACACCAAAAAACCAAAAAACAATCCTAGCCCCCACCATGGCTGGGATTCTTTTTTTTTTTGTTTTTTGGTCCAGGGAAATGTTGCGCAACAAATTCCAAATGTTGCGCAACATTTGCGGAGCATGATGAGAGGATATGTGAACCTTTGTGAAAGAAGGCATGTTCTGGATGAGAGGATATGTGAATTTTCTGTAGAGAAGAGTTATTAAAAAAGACATGTTTTGTGTGAGATGATATGTGAGTCTTTGTGGAAGAGTCAGGGTTACAGTGATTCATAAAAGTACAGCAAAAGACAGTAAATATCATGTAAAACCACCATTTATGGAGCACAAACTGTCCCAGCCATAGCCTGGTTTTATTCTACACAGGGTTCCCTTTCCTTGGCAAGTCTTTCACATATGCTGCCTTTGTTTCATTGAAAGAAGACATGTAGACAGACATGTGTTGGGTGAGAGGATGAAAGAATCGTCTGTAGAGAAGAGTTATCGAAAAGACATGCATTGTGTGAGATTATATGTGAATATTCTGTGGAAGAGTCTTTGAAAGAAGGCATGGTTTGTGTTGGAAGATATGTGAGTTTTCTGTGGAAGAGCCTTTGAAAAAAGGCATGTTTTGGTGAGAGGATATGTGAACCTTTGTGAAAGAAGACATGTTCTGGGTGAGAGGATATGTGAATTTTCTGTAGCAAAGAGTTATTGAAAAGACATGTTTTGTGTGAGAGATGATATGCGAGTCTTTGTGGAAGAGTCAGGGTTACAGTGATTCATAAAAGTACAGCAAAAAGACAGTAATTTTCATGTAAAGCCACCATGTATGTAACACAAACTGTCTCAGCCATAGCCTGGCTTTAGTCTACACAGGGTTCCCTTTCCTTGGCAACTCTTTCACATATGCTGACTTTGTTTCATTGAAAGAAGACATGTAAAAAGACATGTGTTGGGTGAGAGGATGTGTGAGTTTTCGGTGGAAGAGTCTTTGAAAGAAAGCATGGTTTGTGTGGGAAGACATGTGAATTTCTGTGGAAGAGCCTTTGAAAAAGGCATGTTTTGGTGAGAGGATATGTGAACCTTTGTGATCGAAGGCATGTAAAAAGACATGTTTTGGGTGAGAGGATGAATTCATTTTCTGTAGAGAAGAGTTATTGAAAAGACATGCTTTGTGTGAGATGATATGTGAATATTGTGTGGAAGGGTCTTTGAAAGAAGGGCTTTGTGTGGAAAGATATGTGAGTTTTCTGTGGAAGAGCCTTTGAAAAAAGGCATGTTTTGGTGAGAGGATATGTGAACCTTTGTGAAAGAAGACATGTTCTGGGTGAGGATATGTGATTTTTCTGTAGAAAAGAGTTATTGAAAAGACATGTTTTGTGTGAGAGATGATATGCGAGTCTTTGTGGAAGAGTCAGGGTTACAGTGATTCATAAAAGTACAGCAAAAAGACAGTAATTTTCATGTAAAGCCACCATTTATGTAACACAAACTGTCTCAGCCATAGCCTGGCTTTAGTCTACACAGGGTTCCCTTTCCTTGGCAACTCTTTCACATATGCTGCCTTTGTTTCATTGAAAGAAGACATGTAGACAGACATGTGTTGGGTGAGAGGATGTGTGAATATTCTGTGGAAGAGTCTTTGAAAGAAGGCATGGTTTGTGTGGGAAGATATGTGAGTTATCTGTGGAAGAGCCTTTGAAAGAAGGCATGGTTTGTGTGGGAAGATATGTGACTGGAGTTTTGTGTGGAAGAGCCATTGAAAAAGGGCATGGGTCACATCCAAGGCGTCTTTCTTCAATGAGGCAAACCTCCTTGCTCTGGTCTCCCAGTGTGCAAATCTGAGTTGTTCTTCCTGCCTGCTTCCGCGGTCAAAGCAAATCTGAACCAAGACCAAACCTGGGTACCTGGGGGGGGGGTAGCATATATATATATATACATATGTGCATAGCATGCGTGTCATCAACAGTCAGCATTCGCCAAGAAACACGCGTGCACTGAAACAACAAGAAGCCACATGCTTCCGCATGGAAGCTGTTGGTCTTTACTTCCTATCGGGTCTAGTGAAGGGGAGAAGGCTATCCCCCGGAAGCGGATGTTGGACACATATTATGGAACCAGCAGCTGTTTTTTTTGGCACTCGGCCCGAAGGCGGCGGAGGATCTCTTTGATCCCTCGGGCTGGGAGTGGGACGGGAGCAGCTTCCACCACGGCCACGCCCGGCAGCCCGGGCAGCGGGCGCGGGCGCGCGCACGCGCGTCTGGCCGCATGTCCCACTGAGGCCTGGGAAGGCATCCACTGGGATGGCGACAAGGGATGGATGTACGATAAGGACGGGCAGAGAGGCAGAGGGCAGCACCTTTCCTTTTGGCAGCTAACCCGAAGTGGGCTGGCAGTTGCTTCCTTTTGGCTTCCTCTCTAAGACCCAAGCATGAATGGTTTTCGGGCAGACAGCCTCTGTAACCACGAAGCACCCTCACGCCTTTTCGCCTCAACTGCCCCGAGATCGCCTTGGGTTTCCCTTTGGTTTCCCTCTCAAAGAACGCCACAAAGGGCACCGAGCCCATGTCGCTCCAGGAGCCGATGGGCCACTGGTGGCACGGAGAGACGGATTTCAGCCACCAGGCGCGGCAACAACGAACGGCAGGGGGTCCAGCCATCCCCACGCAAAAGGCTTCTTCTTAAATGTACTCGTTGTGATGGTCAAGGCCGGTTCCCCAAAAAGGGCTCTTATCCTTTAGCCTGCGCATTGGTTTGAAGAAAGCCAGGGACCGAAGGGAAATGTGCTAGACGCGCCTTGCAAAGACATGTGCCATGGCAGACGTCAACCTTTGCCCACGCTCAGGAGCCCATCACTGTGATCCACCACCACCACATCGTCCACGGCGACCACGTCCACCACATTGACACCATCGAACACATCGTCCCTGGCGACCACGGCCATGACCATGTTGAGCTACTTTGCCGCACGAGTGGTAGCGGCCTGCGGTTTTATGATGTCTTCAATTCGTTCGGGGACAAAGACACGCATGGCACTAGCCGCCCTTTTCGATGTCTGTCCCGGCCAGGAGCCCCTACGACTGCCACGCAGGGATCGCCAACTGGAAGGTGCCGGTTTTGCGCACAGTTTGCCAGTGCCTGGCACCAGGGGCGCAAGTGGAACATGCAACCGGGCACAAGTTTGCGCTTGGCAGGCCGGCTGGTCAGACCACAAGAAGGCCGGAGATCTTGGTGGATGGGGGCTGCGCGCTGCTTGATGTTGATAAGAAGGTCCTGCTGTTGCATCCATCCGCATTGCGTTCCTGTCTTCTGGGATGGACATGGACATCTCTATGGGTGGAACATGAACAGAAGAAATGACACCACGCACTTGGGGATGGATTTGCCACGTGCTCGTATCATGATGTTCCAGTATTCCGTATCAAGCATGCTACATTATGCTCCAGTTGCTTTCTGCTCTGTCACAAAGATGATTGCTGAAAAGCTTGGCTTTGTGGCCGCTTTTTGTGATGTCCTTTAAAGTGATAAAGAAGTACTGTTAAGGATTTGCATTGGTATCACGAAAACGGCGGGGAGGTTCCAGTGCCGAAGCAGTCACGTCCCGTTGTCATCGAGACACTTGTGAAAATGTCAGTCACACAGAAGCGTCAGGTGGGACCTGACCTCTTCTTTTTTTTTTTGTAAGAATAAGGGGGCCTCCAAAGTGTCGGTCTTCCTTTTGTTTTCCGTTGAAAACCACATGTTGTTGCCCTTTTTGTTCCGGCCCTGTCTGACGTCTTAGGGCAGTTGCCATTGGGTTGGGCGATGAGTCCTTGGGAGACGGTGCGCGCGCAGACCTGGTGCTGCGACCACTTCTCGAAGGGCTGTCCGCACGAGTCCGGGTCTGGGGAAGAGTCGATGCCCCAGCGGGGAAGAGGTGGAGGAAGTAGAGGAAGTAGAGGAAGTAGAGGAAGTAGAGGAACTGCTAAGAACCCAGAGGATACTTTTGAATGGGCTGAATGCCAACTGCATGCCCTCTGGGCTTCGCGCCCTTGTTGACAGGCGCTGACAAAGTTATGGTGCCGTTCTGTTGGGTTCGCGCCCAGATCCGACTACGACTTTGACTGCCATGACGGCTGGACGCCCAAGGGTTTGGCTTCCTGCGCGCTCGTGGGAGTGACTCAAGGGCTCTTCGTTCCTAGCAAGCACATTGTCTTCAAGTGCCGCTTAGTCTTTCATCAGGGTCTAGGGGTGGGTCCTGCCAGCTTCCAAGTTCGCCTGACGCATCCTCAGCTGTCCGTTTTGTTCCCAGGCACCGACAATCCGATCGCCAAGTGGTCCGCGAAGCAGTCGAGCTGGTGCTGCGATCATTTCAGCAAGGGTTGCGCAGGCCAGCGGAGTCACGTGGTGAAATGCTTCCTGCTGTGGCTCGAATTGCCGTGGTTCAAAATTCCTTGTCTAGGTGTAGACGGGAGGCAATATGGGCAAAGCTTGATCATGTGAGTTGGTGCCCTCATCAAACTTGACCTGAAGCTTGATTGCCAGGTCACTCGCCCAAGCCCTACTCCTGCTCTGGCAACGACTGGGAAGGCACCTTGTGCCAAGGGCAAGTCGTCCCACAACAGCTGGCACCTTTCTCATGGTGCCCCCAGAGCGGTCGAATGGAAATTCGGTTTCTGACTTGGACGCCAGTCTGCCCAAAAGTACCACTTAAAGCGCCGTGGGTGCCTGGTTTGAAAGGGCTATGAATTTACATGGGAAACCCTTGACCTTCCCACGGTGCCCCTCCTAGAAAGGCCAAAGCCGGAAGGCTTTTGCAAGGTGCCTCTGTTACCGGGGTAGCCAGCTGGCTTCTCCGTGCAAGGCTGGGAGCAGGAGAAGCGGACCTGGTGCTGCTACAACCACGACGTCGCCTGCGACCCCTTCAACTGCGAGGCCATGTGTTCGGAAATGCCAGGATCAGCGCTTTCTTTGGCATGTTTCACTTTGGTTCCGTTGGAAAGTATCAAACTGTCGTTCAGGCAGCACGTGAATCACACGACACGACGATAGTGTCGACGGATCTTCATGACACATTTTCGCTCGATCGAGGCATCAGAGCCGGCAACGGCAGGGCCCCCCGCAGCCGCCCCCGCACCCACTCCCGCGGCCGGGCCCCCCGCGCCCCCTGCCGCCCCTGTGCCCGCTCCCGCGGCTGGGCCCCCTGGAACCGCCTCCAAACCCATTCCCGCGGCTGTCAATGTCACCAAGCCGGCGGGCGCCTGGACGACGAAGAAGAAGGCGCGATGCGTCACACCGAGAGGCACGTGATTTGGTCGAGAGTGAAGAGTGCTTTTCAATCCGGGGAGCGTGTTCGGCAGCTCGTCGTGCGTGGCGACAGGAGTGGTGTTGTGAGCACCACCAGAAGGGCTGCCCCTTCGACTGCCAGAAGGATGCCGACCAGTGGACCAGCCACGACCTTTAGGGATCTGGGAGGAGCCCTGGTCATCTTGGACCTGGAAGAGCTGGATTTACAACTGGGATTACAGTAAACCACAATCCTGGTACCAAGATAATATTATCTTCAGCAAGTCAGAGTCATCGTGACCAAGGACAGATCGCTTGGTACACCTAGGCTTTGTTTGAAGTTCTGAGGGTGTCGTGCCTGAGGCTGGGAGGGCGACCAGCAGAAGTGGTGCTGCGACAACCAGGCGCTGCCGCGCTGCAAATTTGCCGCGTGAGTGATGTCGAGAACGGGAAAGCGCTTTGCCCCATGGGCGCAGGGCGTCGCCTGCCAGAAGTTCCATTGCGAAGCAGGCGCGCGTTCCTCCCTCCAACGGGTTTCTCACTGACGGTTGTTCTTTTCCGCGGCGAGGAGGCGGCCATTTTTTTAAATAGACATATTTCCCAGTGAAAGCTGTGGCTTGGTTTCGTTGATGTTTGGCCCGCCCTGCACCCTGCGCTTCGAAGCGATTCAGGCGAAGCGGCGGGCTCCTTCGAGGCATGGTCCATGCCCAAGAAGTCCTGGTGCTGCCAGAACTATCACTCTGCCTGCGACCCCTACGACTGCGCCTCACCTGACCCAGGGGGGGGGCGGGGGAAAAGGGGGGGGGCAAATGCAAGATGCGATTGGGACGCTTGAGCAGTGGGGCGAGGCATTTCCTCGGTGGCTTAAGCACGTACGTCCCTGTTTGCAATTTTTTGAGATGGAAATTTGAGAATTGCTTCTATCTTGTTCTTGACTCCCCATTGCTGGCTGGTTTTGAATCGCTTGTTTTCGAGCCCCCCCTGCTGGCTTCGGCGGTCAGCGAGAAACGACCTGACATGTCGAGCATGGCTTGCCCTGCTTTCCCCACTGCTTTTGACTGAACAGTCGGTCGGGGGCCTTCCATCCGAGTGAGGTGACCATGCCTAGAGAGTTGACTCCCCGAAGTTGGGTCGACCTGCCCTGGACCGCATTTGATGTTCTTTCTTCCGGCACGGATTTTTAGCTTCGCCTCAGGTGGCTTTGAGACGGTGGGCAAGTGGACCATGTCCAAGCGCGCTTACTGCTGCATCAAGGAGGAGAAGGGCTGTGCAGGCCAGGACGCGCGCGAGAAAGCAATCGGCAGTGATGCTGCCGTTGCTGATGGTGGTGGTGGTGGGGGTGGTGGTGGTGGTGGTGGTGGTGGTGGTGGTGGTGGTGGTGGTGGTGGTGGTGGTGGTGGTGGTTGCGATGGTTGCGATGGTTGTGGTGTTTGTGTGGCTGTGGCGGTTACGCCACAGCCGGCTTCGCCGCCTGCTGCGCAGGCAAAAACTAAAATCTAGACCAGCGTCCAAGCAGTGCTCAGCAGACGCGACAGTAAGCTTCCAGGCACCGAGACGTCCTTGCCCTTCGACTGCTCTGCACAGTTCTCCCAGTGGGAAGAGAAGTGGGATCAGGAAGCTCAGCCGCAGTCGGGGTTTCGTTGATGGTTGGACCTATGTGTGGCCCTTGGAAGGTCGTAAAGCACCGGAGTCAACAAGCTGGCATGGTTGCCAGATGTTGCCAGTGTTTGAATCTCCGGCGACCGAGGCAAAGAAGGACTGGTGCTGCGCAACTCACGCGCCTTGTCAGCGCTGTGGGGCCCCGCAGACATAGAAGATTCTTTCAAGGCGCGAGTCTCATTCCTTGAGGGTTGCCTGGCAGGCGAGGGGGAGAAGTTGGGAGAAAGGGGGGGGGCGTTTGGGTTGGCTGCCACATCTGTGGCGTGTTCGCCTGGATTCTTCGACCTTCCATGCGTTGCTTTGCGTCTTTGCCACAGCCGGCTACTCGCTGAGGCGCGCGGCTGCCCGCAGATTCATGTGCCGGAACCCTTCACCTGCAGCCTGGGTGCGGGCGACAGCGGCCTGGCAAAGCAAATCGCAAGGCTCCTTCGGCCTCTCGAGCCCCTGGTCCAGCGCATTTTTCACTCCGCTTCTTCACAGCGAAGCATCAAATCTCCAAGCTTGCGGGCTTGATGTGTCACCACCAACAGCTTGTTTGCGTTGAACATCTCACTTGATGCCCTTCCAAGTGCTTCTTGGGAGCCTTTGGAGTGTGCGAAGGCATTCACATTGCAGGCTGTGCCTTTCCCCGAGTCTGATTATGTTTGAAGAGCCGTCCAGACCGAAATGCCGTCGTGCAGACGCGACCTCGAGGCTGGGAGGAGATGTGGTCCCACGAGCACCGGACCTACTGCTGCACCCACAAGCACGTGGCCTGCGAGGAGTTCGACTGTCACTTCCAGCGCCGTGCCCCGGCGCAAGGCAGACTTTCGAGCGCAAGGCGAGCGCAAGGCGAGCGCAAGGCGAGCGCAAGGTGGTGCTGTGCATGGCACAAAGTAGTTCTGTGGTCAGTTCTTGCTGTTTCGTGTCACTTTGTTCACTCTCTGACTGCGCTGGTGGCGAGACCTTGGAAAGCCGGAACCATATAGTCACTGGTCACTGTTCCACTTAATGCAACCAAATCAAGGGGCACTTTGCGGCGTCCCCAAAAGCTGAATCTGGCGACAAGCTGGCCTAGACCACATCGACTACTACTGGAGCAAAGAGAAGCAGGACTGGCGCCTTGGCCTTTCTGATCTCGATGGGGATGCCTTGCCCTTTTTTAAGCGTGTGGATTGAATGTTTGCTGTCATGATTTGTCATGCATTCTAAAGGGAGCAACATGCCACATCAACGGGAGGACGGGTTAGCCGCACTTGCAAGAGACACCGTTGCTCGCGCGCAAATCCTACGTGTTTACCAGCGGTTTTGCGGAACACCTGCATCGGGCCGGGGGAGGGGGGCTGTTTTCGTGCTGGCCGCATCGGATGGCGTCGCGATACAGCAGTCAAGACCAGTCAAGACCAACACCATGGGCCTCACGCTGTCGCGCTGCAGGATGGGGGAAGCTAGATAGGGATTTGGCCTGTTTCGGCCTGTTTCGAGCTGGCCACGTCATCATGGGTTGGCAGCGCCAGGCCAGCTCAGTCCTCCATGCGAAGCTCAGCTACCCCCCGCCCAACGTGTAAACACACGCGCACATTTTGCCGCCCATACATGGCATGACGCGTTTGTTCTTTTGTTAGTGGGTCAAGTAAATAGATTTCGGCACTGGCTCTGTTTGGGCAAATGAGCTCAAATGTCTATGGGAGGGGCTTCCAAAATCCTTGGGCTGCAACGGCTTGAAGGGCTTGAGGGGCTTCAGAGTTGGCCCCCGTAGACCCTTTCAGGCTTAAGCTCAGTTCCCTTGAGCCTTCCAAGGTGCCCTGAAATGCCCCCAGGTGCTGCGACAAGCAGTCTATTGGTTGCCCGAAGACCACCACACCACCGCTCTATGACTGCCACCAGGCGGGCGATTGTGCGGATTCATGCGGTGGGTGACACGTTTTTTGTCTTTTTTTCTTTTCATGTGAAAACCATCCGGGCGTCCATCTCCATGAGCAACTGGGGGCGCTCGGGACTAGCAGCCGCTGCCGCTTGCTTGCGCCAGGACCTGGCGTCTGCCTGGTGCCTCACTCAGACCCTTCTCGCTTGGGAAGGCAAAGGGGAATAGGCCAATGTCAGCCACAGGTTGGTTGGACCCTGGGAAAGAAACTGGCAATCCGCGAAGTCAAAACTGACAGAAGCCTTGGACGACGGGACCCCAAGAATTCAGAGGCAGACCTTTTGGTCAGCCTCGGCCGATCGAAGGCACAAGGACAAGAGGGACTTTTGCTGCGAGACTGAGAGGCCAGCGGACATGGTGGTGCACGAGGTACATATGGGTATGGGTCAGGTTTTAGTCTTTGTTTCCATTTACCAGGGTTCCCTTCTGGGTAATTACCCATTTTTTGACCCACACCCATATGGCAACTTTCTGCCCCACGTTCAGACAATGACAATGTCCTGTCGGAGCGAAGGGGTCGAGACATGGGCTTACTGCCACTGAAACGCTGACAGGGAGACATGCTTGGCAGAATGAAGGCAGGTTTGGTTTTGGTTACGCTTCACACAATCCATGGGGGGTCCTAGCTTTTGGGGACTCACAAGATCGGTGCGTGATCTGAGCTTGAGGCCGGGAGAGCACACTAGCATTCATCGGTTACTCATAGAAAATGTATCCTGAAGCTGGAACATGACCCTTGGTATTTGAAGGGAAGCCAGCTAGTTTTTGGATGTCTCCCTTCAATCCCCAAAACAACCGAAACTAGGTCCTGCTCACTGAGCGGATGTAATGGCTGAAGTTGAGGAGAGTCTTTCATGAACATTGCTTCGAAACGTGCAACGTGCAGGTTGGGCTGCGTCGTCGGAGGCTCCGGGGCATCTGAGGGCTCCGAAGGATCCGAGACCGTGGAGCCCGAGGACCGAGCGCAGCGCGTGTATTGGCTGTATGGACTTCTTCTTTTTTTTTGCCGGAACGGAACAAAAACAGGGACCCTGAAGCATGGGCCACCGGGGGGTTTCGGGTTTGCCTGGGGTGATGTTGTGGAGGGGGGTTGATAAATCAAACTGGGGACGACTGTGGGTCAAGGATTTCGCTGAGCTTTTGGATGGCTCTCAGTTTGTCAGTTTTTCGAGCCCTTTCCGCACTGAAAAGGTGAACATGATGGCCGGAGGAGGAAACTGAGCCGGAGGGGTCGACCCACAGCTTCGGCCATTTCGACTGCTCCTTGCCAGCCACTGCGGATGCGATAGGCAGGATGGCCCATGTTTAGCAGATTTGGGTTCATCGGCTTATTTTTTGCTCGTCCCAACCCTTTTCTGAGGGAGCGAGAAGGGTGGCTTCAGCCAGGCAGCTGGGAAATGTGGCACCAGAACAAGAAGAATTGGTGCTGCGACCACCTCTCGGCGCGGCTTCCGGAGAGATGCAGCCGTTACGGTTGGTGGGGACGGTCATGGGAATTTGATGAGGATGTCGACCAAGGAAGCCATGACATACGAATGATTTAACAACACGAAAAAAAAAAAAAAAAAAAAAAAAAACATGAGCAATCATTACCACATACTGATGCAAAATGATTACACACTTTTTGCACTGAATCGGTCGAGTGGCTTCGCCTTCACGCCCAAGTTGCTACAAGAGTGATCCACACAAACTGGTACAGCAATCTTGAACCTGGTCATATATCGGCCCATGTTAGTAGTCACACTATGCAGAGCCAAGCAATCAGGAAAGGTGAACGTTGTTGAACATGGTCAAACTTGTCCACTTAGTGGAGGCGAACAAGTATGACAGGGTATGATGGGAAGAGTCTGGCCCGGAAGCGTCCATGGTTTGTTGTCGAAAACGCTGCCAGAAAACAAGCCTGTTGCTTCTATTTGGTTGGACCATGCACTGCAAGCAGTCCACCGCCCCTCCCCGGCCGGTCAGAACTGCGCATGAGTGAGACCCAGTCTAGAAGTATGTCAACATTTTAACACCATGGCCAATTTGGGGGGGATGGGGGAGCTTGCTTGATTTCTCAAGGAAAAAGTAACACTTTGACTCCCTCAGTTGCCCAGGTCCCTTGCTGGCAAGAATATATTTTAGCTGCGGCTCAAATGGGTGAAATGGTGAGCCACCCAACGGCTTTCCATTGGTTCTCCTGTGAAACCAATCCGAAGGCGATACGGTTGCAGGCCTTGAACATGGCGCGCCCCCTTCAATGGTCGGTTTCATTTTGGGTTCCCTAAAGGGGAGCCCAATTTGAAGCCCCCCAGATGGTTTGGGGTAGGCCCTGGTCCTGCACGCGTCGCTCATTGCTCCGCCAGATTGCCTGCGAGCAGTTCGACTGTGGCTTCAATATCCACTCTGTGCAGGCCGCATACGGGGTAAGTAGCTGGGGTAGCAAGTGGCTCGGCATGTGGCAGGGCTTGGCATGTTCTGTTGACGTGGCGACTTGTTTGTGGGACGTGGACAGGAGGCGAAGCTCCAAGCTACTCAGCTACTCCGCCCTTCACTCCGCTCCACTTCACTCCCTCACCTCACTCGCCCATCTACCGAATTCACTCAGTCTGTGTGTGTTTGCCCTCCTTGCCTTCCTGCCTGTGTATGTGGCTGTTGCTGTGCCTCTGTGTGCGCTGCATTCATGTTTGCTTTCTGTGCCTGTCCGTTTGATTTGTGTGTCTTTCTGACGGACCCGTGTGTCTCCGTGTATTTGTCTGCTTGTTTCTTAGGCCAAAGCTTGCGCTGCATGGAGCAAAACTAAGCCTGGCTAGGCTCCTGCAATGGCCAAGCATGTCAGCCCAGTCCCCTGAGAAGCGCCCCAAGCTCTGGATCGCTCCCTCGCGAGGCCTGGAGCCACTCGAAGAAGTCCTTCTGCTGCGACAAGATGGGCCTGGGCTGCCCAGAGGCGGAGCCGGTAGAGACCTCCGCCCGGGCCATAGCCCGAACCGTCGCTCCTATCCGATCCGGGGAGTGAAAGCAATGTCTTGACATTGAGTTCTGTCCAATGGACTCCGAGTACTGCTCTTGCCTCTTGTCTCTCAGATCTGGGTCCTGGGTCCCTTCCCTCGAGCCTCGCATCAAGGCACTCTTCGACTGCAACGCTGCGCTGTCCAGATGGGAGGTGGCGTGGTCAAGCCTCAAGAAAGGCAGGGTAGCAACAGACGCAGCTCATGCGGGCTCTTTGTTGCTTCCTGTTTGCGGTTGCATAGATCATTGAGCTGTGATGAAACATGGAGCAGTATGCAAAGCAGGCGCCTTTTGGGCACGTGTTTGTTCCATCGAGCGTTCTGTTCAAGTCAGCCCGAGTCCAGAATATCCCCAAAAGATCCGAAGGGCCACTTGCTCGTCCTCGTCCGGGTCTTTCCGTCAGGCTGGTGCTGCAAAACCGAGGGCAAGGCCTGCAAGCCTTTCGACTGCGACGCCCGGCCAAACGAAATGCGAAATGGAGCTTTGGAGGGCCGGTCCGCTCGTTACACCTAGAGCTGTCGGCCATTGCCTGGCAGAGTGCAACACTGACCCTTCTTTTCTATAGTAATGCGTATTCCATGGAATGGGGGGAGTAGTTCACAGCTCCAACAGTCTGCATTGTTTGTTCCAACTCTGTGATCGGGGCTTGCCAATGGTGTTGATGGGCCCCATGTTGGACTGCGGCAACTCCCAGGTGCATTGTTTGATCTATCAACCCCACCCACGATCCTCGATCTGAGTTCATGTTGCATTGGCTGATGTATGGCACAGACACCGACGAAAGCCCCAACCGGGTGACTCGTGCTTGGTACCAAAACGAGCCTGCGCGGGAAGCTCCTAGAATTCCATGGGGTCTTCACACACCGCGCCTTGGCTTCTCGAAAGCGGTCTTTTGGCCTAAGGAGTTCCAGGAGCGTCTCCACGCGTGGTCCGACACCAAGAAAAGCTGGCCGGGACCTCAGATCCATGAAGTTGCCGCTTGCAGCGTTCTCAGCCGAAACGGTGGATTAAACATGGCATCCGAGCAATTCGAGGAGTCTCTGTTGAACAAACACCTCAAAGCCGGCCTAGAAAAACTTCGGTCGAGTTGCTATGCAGACGACCAACATGGAATCCAAGCAACCTGTCATGTTTTTTTTTTTTTTTGGTGGCGAGGGGGAGACTCTTCTTCTTGGGGGTCCATGAGCATTTGCATGGGAGTATTGGAGGCTTTGCATGTGAACATGAGAAGTCTCAGAACTTTCCGTGACCATGGGGGTGCGGGAGTCTTGCATGCGGGATAAGAGAGGCATTTGCTGATTTGCTGGAGTGCAGCCACATGACAATCTCCACCCTGTTTTTTTTGCGAGAGCGCGGTTGCCGCACCAGCGCCCGCGGGTCAGACATTGGTTCATGTTTTTGGTTTGCATGGCTCGGGAAGCCGACTCATTGGACCATCGCCGGGCAGCCTTTGACGGTTTGCTGCGTTGGTTGCATGGGTTGCTTCGGGCTGGTTGTCCGGTTCCTCGGCATGGCAACGGAGGCAAGTGCAAGCTGGCAGGAGGTCTCTGGAAAGGGCATCAGACAAGTGCAGGTGTGGATGCACACAGCATAGGCAAACGAGACTGGCCAATCCAGGCGATTGAGATAGAGGTTAGACTTCATGGGAGTGTTTAGAAAGAATCTGGCCCTGTTAGGTTCAGAATGCATCTCGTCATTGGGGAGCCCTTCAAGCGATGACTGAGGTGCTGCATTGAAGAGAAGAAGGGATGCCCGAAAGAGACCACTTCCAAAGCTTTTGACTGTGCTGCTTGGCTTGACCTCCAGCCAGTGGACCGACCACAGTGACCAGGGCAGTTTTGCTGTTTCCATCACTGCATCGTTATAGCCCGAAGAACATGACTTGTGAAATTCAGCCTTGGTCGGCTCTCCCCGATCCGCTGTCAGCATCGGCCGAAAGCCCAGGAAGCCGGATATGACAAGTGGGAAACCGGCTGGTCCAACAGCAAGAAGAGCTGGTGCTGCGCCAATCTCCAGGTTGCATGCCACTTGGACAGAGGGCAGCTCCTTGTGCCTCACGCAACCCTTCAAAGGCCACCCTGTCCCAGCAAAGGCAGATCTTGACAATGACAATACCTGAGCTTTCGGAATGGACGCAACAAATATATCGTTCTGCTTACATATTCTTTCTAGAGAACCCCATTGCCCTACCATGAGGCCCTGTGATCCTCCATGCATTTGCAACCCGAGGCCATCCGGGTGCCAAAGAAGTTGGGCCTGCACCGGGAGCGAAAATGGATGGAGGCCATGGTGGGTCCTTTAGCTTCTCCAGCGGCAGCGGGGACATGAGCCCAGAGGAGTTGCATAAGATGATGGCAGGTATGCATGCGGATGGCGGTCATGGTGGGTCCTTTAGCTTCTCCAGCGGCAGCAAGGACATGAGCCCAGAGGAGTTGCATAAGATGATGGCAGCCCACAGCAAGGACATGAGCCCAGAGCAGTTGCATAAGATGATGTCAGGTATGCATGCGGATGGCGGTCATGGTGGGTCCCTTAGCTTCTCCAGCGGCAGCGGGGACATGAGCCCAGAGGAGTTGCACAAGATGATGGCAGCCCACAGCAAGGACATGAGCCCAGAGCAGTTGCATAAGATGATGTCAGGTATGCATGCGGAGGGCGGGCATGGCGGGTCCTTTAGCTTCTCCAGCGGCAGCGGGGACATGAGCCCAGAGCAGTTGCATAAGATGATGGCAGGTATGCATACGGATGGCGGTCATGGTGGGTCCTTTAGCTTCTCCAGCGGCAGCAAGGACATGAGCCCAGAGGAGTTGCATAAGATGATGGCAGCCCACAGGAAGGACATGAGCCCAGAGCAGTTGCATAAGATGATGTCAGGTATGCATGCGGATGGCGGTCATGGTGGGTCCCTTAGCTTCTCCAGCGGCAGCAAGGACATGAGCCCAGAGGAGTTGCACAAGATGATGGCAGCCCACAGCAAGGACATGAGCCCAGAGCAGTTGCATAAGATGATGTCAGGTATGCATGCGGAGGGCGGGCATGGCGGGTCCTTTAGCTTCTCCAGCGGCAGCGGGGACATGGGCCCAGAGCAGTTGCACAAGATGATGGCACCCGACAGCAAGGACATGAGCCCAGAGCAGTTGAATAAGATGATTGCCGCTATGGTTTCGGAGGGCGGTCATGGCGGGTCCTTTAGCTTCTCCAGCGGCAGCAAGGACATGAGCCAAGAAGCGTTGCATAAGATGATCGCAGCCCACAGCAAGGACATGAGCCCAGAGCAGTTGCATAAGATGATGTCAGGTATGCATGCGGAGGGCGGTCATGGTGGGTCCTTTAGCTTCTCCAGCGGCAGCGGGGACATGAGCCCAGAGGAGTTGCATAAGATGATGGCACCCGACAGCAAGGACATGAGCCCAGAGCAGTTGAATAAGATGATTGCCGCTATGCATGCGGAGGGCGGTCATGGCGGGTCCTTTAGCTTCTCCAGCGGCAGCAAGGACATGCGCCCAGAGGAGGTGAAGAAGATGATGGAAGACATACATGCAAAGGGCAGCACCAAGGACATGAGCCCAGAGGAGTTGAATAAGATGATTGCCGCTATGCATGCGGAGGGCGGTCATGGCGGGTCCTTTAGCTTCTCCAGCGGCAGCAAGGACATGAGCCCAGAGGAGGTGAAGAAGATGATGGAAGACATACATGCAAAGGGCAGCACCAAGGCCATGAGCCCAGAGGACGTGAAGAAGATGATGTCAGGTTTGCATGCAGAGGGCGGCAGCAAGGATACTGCGCCCGCTCCCGCGGCCGGGGGAACAAGCCCCAACGATCCAGCGACCCCCGGAAGCGCCCCCGCAACCGGAACCGCGCCCACCACCGCTGGACTTCCCGCGAAAGATCCCGCGGCACCCCTCGCAACCGCACCCGCAGCGGCAACTGCGCCCACGGCGATTGTCGCCGCTGGGCTTCCCGCGACAAGTCCCGCAGCACCCCTCGGAGCCGCCCCGACTGCTCCCGCGCCCACTCTCGCTGCCGGGCTTCCCGCAACAAGTCCCGCGGCACCCCTCGGAGCCGCCTCTGCAGCCGGAACTGCGCCCACGGCCACTGTCGCCGCTGGGCTTCCCGCGACACCCCTCGGAACTGCCCCTGCAGCCGGAACTGCGCCCATGGCCACTGTCGCCCCTGTAGCCGGAACCGCGCCCACTCTCGCTGCCGGGCTTCCTGGGATCAACCCCACGGAGCATGCGGAGGGCAGCAGCAAGGACACGACTGCAGAAGAATGAAGCATTGCGTCTCAGTAACAAGCATAGCATTTTCTGCGAGATGGTCTTTCTTGTTTGTCTCGACCACCACGGGCGGCCAAGCTGCTTGGTCGCATGTCATTGCTTTTTGGTCCCAGCAGCATCTGCCAACTGCGTGTTCGCATTCTAGTTTTAACGCGTGCGGCATGCCAGTCCAACCTCCGCAAAGACGCCTCAAGCTGACGAATTAGTGGCTGGCTGTGGTAGTTTTTCCCTTCTCTGCATTCCTAACAGCCCTCATCACCTAAAGTGGCCCAGGTGTGCAGCAGTTCTTTGCTTGAGCAAGACCCGTGACCATCGACGTGCGAACGGACACGCTGCCATGACCCATATGCTCCATGGACCCTCAGCGAATCTGTTTGAGTCCCGTTCCCGGAAAGGCATGCGTCGTACGTCCCTCTGACGTGCTCGTTGACCCGTGTTCTGTCCTATTTCTTCCAGCCCAAAGTGCTATTAATTGCCAATTGTCAGTCTGGCTTACTTTGGCTCCCTGCTACAGCAGGAAACGACGTGTAGAGAAGACCAGGGTCACACGCAACAGATTCTCCGAAGCTCCGAGGCTTGGCGGCCTGAGCGCTACCCTGTCCAAAGGACAGCTGTGTCCCAGTCACGTGGGGCCCTCCGCTTTTGTCTCCCTGGGAAAAAATGGAGGCGGTATATGTGACAAGCAACACCGCAAACCAAAAAACCACCGGCTGTCCCGGCATCTTTCTTGGTTGGCCAACAAGGCCGAAAGGAAACCTCCCAAACGACCTGCCGGGGCACCACAAAGCTGGCGCCGGCTTCCGGAGCACGTCCCCACGTCCCCGAATCCCAAGCCATGAGGTCGCCCTTCGAAGTAACCCGCTCAATGCTTCGGACGCCATATTTTTGGGCTCGGTTAAAATACCGGGCCCGCAGTGTAGGACTCCTCCTATCCGCAATGTTGGCATGTCCCTGAAGGTCACAACATCAAGGAGGCTGCATACACGTTTGCTGTCAGTGCTATGCCCAGAGCCCAGACAGAAATGGGGAGATCTCGACTCCCACACTCGACATGCCGTTGATTGTGTTTTTTGTTGTTGTATGTCTCAGCGAATTTGCAAAGCTGATGTCCACTCCTCCAGATAGTGGCAGCGGAGATCCTCCATCCGCTTTGAGAGACCTGGGTATTTTCTGGGCACTTTTTGCAGCGCTTCCCTTCTATCTATTCAATTCTGCAAAGTTGCGACAAAGCAGCGCACAAAAGCGTGGAGCCGCTGTTGAGTGTTGGAGGGAGGGTTTTGAGCGAAGGGCGAGTGCCTTGCTGAAAAGTCATGCAGGTTATTCCTCTTGCCACTAACAATGAATACGTAGCAATTAAGACTCAAGGCCTTGGGTTTGCCAGATTTCACTTTGGGCCTCGTTCAATGCAAATGGCTTGCCCTTGCATAAGGAATAGAGTTCGATTTGTTGCGCTTTTTGGACTTTCCAACTCCAGATTGGAAGGTGCAGCTCCAGTTGCATTTGGCTTCTCAATCGATCTGAGTCCGGGGCTGGACGCGGCTTAGGGAGCACCATCCATCGGGATGCTAACTCCGTCGGAAGTGATGACCTTGGCTCCGCTGGCCAGCGACGAAACCTGAAAGTCGGCATCCCCGACTCCCCGACTCGACTCCTTGATCGCCGCTCCAGGCTTTAGAGCGGGACTTGGCCAAGAGAGCACAAGACAGCTGACTCGGTTCATGCTTTAGCCCGAAGCGCCCCACAGCTTGGTGCCACTGTGTGCAATGGTAGTGTCGCTAGGTGCATGCATACATCTGTTTTGTTAGGGAAAAAAACCGGCATCCTCAACACCTTTGACTAAGGTTCCCAACCTCACAAACCCACTTTCTTTGCCTTTTGGGACCCTGGCGACATTTTGTTCCGCCTCTCCAGGTTCCCAAAGAGGGTCACAAACGACACCATTTGGACGTGGATCTGGACGTGACCTTGACTCTTCGGATGAGGTGAGGTGGCCAAGTGGCCGGCCCACGCCATGGCTTCCAACGCCGCATCCATGCTCGGGGAGGACAGTGTGATGCGCTTTGTTTGTCGAGTCGCCACGATTTACGTGACTTTGAATATCCCAATTGGGGACGGTAGTGATTGAGTATCCTTACAAAAAAAAAGGCTCGGGCGATATCCCCAACAGCACCACACCCTCCCAGAATCCTCGCGGAACGCCCCGGGACCATCCTTACCGCCGGTGTTGCTGAGGATGCCGCCTTGTAAAGCAAAGCTACGAGTGACAGCGCAATCTCGCCCTGATCGGGGCCCGACGGCGCAATCGGGGCCCGATCGGGGCCCGACGGCGCAATCGGGGCCCGATCGGGGCCCGGCAATCGGGGCCCGATCGAGGCCCGACGGTGCAATCGGGCCCCGATCCTCCCGTGGTGCAACCCCAGCAACCCATATTATTGCTCAACGCCGGTTTTCCTTAGCATGCGGATTGCAATTGTATCTATAGCAAAAACTAGGCGATGCCAGCTTGGTACAATTGACGGGGCCCGACTCAGGCCCCGATCGGGGCCCGACGGCACAATCGGGGCCCGATCGGGGCCCGACGGCGCAATCGGGGCCCGATCGGGGCCCGACGGTGCAATCGGGGCCCGATCGGGGCCGACGGTGCAATCGGGGCCCGATCGGGGCCCGACGGTGCAATCGGGCCCCGATCGTGGTGCAACCCCAGCCACCCATATTATAGCTCAACGCCGGTTTTCCTTAGTATGCGGATTGCAACTGTATCTATAGCAAAACTAGGCGATGCCAGCTTTGACGGGGCCCGACTGAGTCAGGCCCCGATCGGGGCGCGATGGCGCAATCGGGGCCGAGGCCGAAACGGTGCAATCGGGCGGGCCCCAATTGCACTGTCGCCCGGTGAACCTTGCAAACCGTTCTCACGCAACTTTCGTGGAGCTCAGCGTGAAACTTTGCTGGAACCTTTCCTCAGGGCTGCCCCATAGCTTTTGCAGAATTTGGTGGAAACCTTCTGACCTCATAGCCCTCGCAGCCTCGTGGAATTCTTGGAACCCAAAGCCCACCAAGCAGCAATGCCAAGCATTTACTCTGCTGCGCGTGAGTTCCGCAGCGACGTGATCTGATTTGCCACAAAGCCAACATTTGCCTGAGCAAGTGAGCAAGTCACAAAACAGTGAAAGTGTGCTAAAAACCATTGATTTCGGTTTTGCTTAGTGTTCCGCCCATGAGCAAAGCGATCTTGATCCGATGGCTTTTCAGACGACGGGCGCGCGACACACCCTTGGTGGAGCATTGTGGAGCCTTGTGGAACCTGTGTGGAATCCTTGCAGAGCTTTGTGGAACCCTGTGAAACCTCAGGGCCCACAGCCCTCGCAGAATCTTGTGGAACCCTGAAACCCTCATACAACCTTACCTCAAACTACCCCGGACCACCCCGCAGTGGGACCCTGCTAACCCTGGTGAAACCCTGGTGGAACCCTCGTGGAACCTTCCCCGGACCACGCCGCACCCTTGAAGAAATTGGTGGAACCCTGGTGGCTTGTCCGGAGCACGACGGGCTGGTGGAACCCTGGTGGAAACCTGGTGGAACCCTCGTGGAACCTTACCTCAAACCACCTTGGACCACCCTGCAGCCCTCGCAGAACCTGGTGAAACCCTGGCAGAATTCTGGTGGAAATCTGGTGGAACCCTCGTGGAACCTTCCTCAAACCGGACCACCCCAGCCCTCGAAGAAATTGCTGGAACCCTGGTGGAACCCTCGTGGAACCTTACCTCAAACCACCCCGACCACTCTGCAGCCCTGGTGGAACGCTCGTGGAACCTTACCTCAAACCACCCAGACCACCCCGCAGCCTGGAACCCTGGTGGAACCCTGGCGGAACCCTCGTGAAACCTTCCTCAAACCCGCAGCCCTCGAAGAAATTGGTGGAACCCTGGTGGAACCCTCGTGGAACCTCACCTCAAACCACCCAGACCACCCCGCCCTTGCAGAACCTGGTGGAATCCTGGTGGAACCGGTGGAACCCTGGTGGAACCCTGGTGGAACCCCTGGTGGAACCCCTGGTGGAACCCTGGTGGAACCTCAGCTCAGGGTCGCCCCGAACCACCCCGGAGCCTATCTGGGCTGAGACCCCAAAGCTTTCAGCTGTTGGGGAAAAACACGATTTGTAGGTTTCTCCTGTCAGCAAAACGGGGTCAAGTGGCCGCCTTTTGGAGCCCTCGAGCCGAGCGCCTTTGCTCTCCTCTGCCAGGAGGTGCGGCGGGAGAACAGCCGCACAGTGCGTGCGAGCCTGGCGCAGGAGGGAGCGTCGCTGTCGCATTCTTTGCTTCTCTTTCCTGCCAGAGGTTTTCCTTGCGCTTTTCCTTGCTGTGAATCCATTTGAGAGATTCCTTCCAACATGGAAGCTTGTTGAGGCTTGTATGTTCTTTCGTGTTTTCCTGCTGCCGGAGGTGGTGGAGGTGTCTTTGGCGCGCTGGGCGCGTGTGGTGATGTGCCTGGCCATGCTGCTTCTGGCAGGGCTGCTGGTGGTCCTTACCTGGCGCCTCTTAAAGCAGAACCACCCCACGGGCTCCAAATTCGGCTTCAGCCTCCCGCCAATCACGGAAGTGGACACTGTCATCTTCCGGGATTTTGGAAGGAGGGTAGATGGTAAGCGGAGCAACCACTTGGATAACTGTAGTGTCGACCCCAAGCTTTTGGTTGATTAACAGGGGAAACGCGTCTAGTAGTCCTTCGGATCGACGTCAACCATCTGTCGGTCATTTGGCTGTTGGACTTATCGTTATCGTGCCGTTCAAGCCGTAGGTTGGTTGATGTGAAAAGGTGAAGCGTGGCAAGCTTGGAGCTCGATGAAACCATGAGATCGAGGGCCACCTCAATCCCAATTTTTGACACACTCCATGGAGCCAGCGGGGCCAGCTGGGGGCGTTCCAAGCCATAGACACAGTTGGCTACCCGTTCTCAGTGTTTCGGTGGCGACGTTTTGCGGGCAAACGAGGCAAGGTATGCGCAACTCCTGGCGTTCACAGCTTCAAGGGGACATTCTGGTCGTGTGATCAAATCGGAAACACGTGCCGTTTGCTGTAAGGAATCCTTTTGAGGGAGTGACACCTTGCCCACCTTGCCCTCTGCTCACGGAAGCTTACACGTTAAAAGGCTATCTTGAAGCCGCTTCCATGAGGATTGGAGAGCGACTTGTGACTTGGCCCAGGGCGGAGCTTGTCTACTCGGGCCATGAGGACGACCAGTGTGACCAGCCACTAGCAGCGATGCTGAGGCCGAGCCGTTGTGGCACAAGCCTTGCTTCCTTCAAGTGGGCGTCCAAAATGAGGATCGGGACCCCTTTGAAGGCGTAACCTGAAATTACGGTTTTTCAAGAGGCCCCTATGTTTTTCCACCCCCCACACTCCTCTAGATATGGGAGACAGGAAGGTCAAGAGCTTCCACCGACACTCGCTCGCTCGGTCGCTCGTCTGATGTCTCCTCGTGGAGCTCCCCAGCTCCTTGCGGCGGCTCCTTGCGGCGCGGCGCGTTGTTCGAGGCTGATCTTCATCATTGTCATGGTGCAGGCCATGCAGAAGACCATCGTGAGGCATTGCCTGTGCTACGACATGGCCGAGGAGTGAGTGCCTTCCTTGGGGATGGGCATGTCTGAGAGAGCAGAAGGCATGTGCTTCTAGGACACGTCTGTCCTAGGCTCACGCTCACTGTGTCACTTCCCGTGTCGCCTCCTTGACTTAGTCTCAACTGGAAGACTATGTAGCGTAGGCGCAGATCAATTCTTGCGGACACGACCGCAACTGCAGCGAAGCTTCTGCCTTTTTTCTGTTTTTAGACAGCCCTTCCCCCGAATCCCTCGGCTCGAAGGTTCATTACGTCCTCTCTTCCTCTGCGCCCCGTGGGGGTGTTTCTCCTCGTGCCATGTCAAGCACCTTCGCTCATCACTCTTGGTCGCTTCTTGATTTGTTTGCTGAAAAACATCTTGGGTCTCTTGTCTTGGCGTGTTGCAATTCATGCCTGATTTCATATTCGAGAAGGATGAACTGAGGAGAGAGTGAACCAATCCATCCCTTTCAATTCTCTCAGCCGGACAATGCATGCCTGACTCGCCAAGAAGAGACATGGAGAAGTGACTCGAATCTCATATAGCTTACCATTCACGTCTTCTCACTCCATCCCTTCTCTTCCCCTCACTTGTCACTTCAGGATGTCTCCTCCGTCCGTTTGCATCACGAACCCCAAAGCTGCTAGTATGATGGAAAATGCAACCATACAATTATGCATATGAAGGCAGTGGAGAATGGTGAGTGGTGAGCACCGGCTAAGATTGAGATGCCTGGGCACGACGAATTCAGTTCGGTCGGCCATGCGGCCAGATTTTTGGCAACGCCTCAAAACTCCTGCAACTTCGCACAGGTTTCCGGTGCCCACGGTGCCCCCCACTCCAAGCCACCCAGCCCAGCCTCCAACTCTTTTTTCGCGGCGGCACCGTCCAGGACGGCCCCATGGAGCCCCTCCGCGTGCGGCTCTTCCGGGCGCTGGCGCTGCTGGCAGCGATGCTGTGGCCCGTCGTGGCAGGCAGGGGAGCCGCGCGCGAGCCGCGCGAAAGCGCGGGGTTGCTCTTTGATCCTTCGATGTCGGCTCTTCCCATTGAGACGCAGAAGTCCCAAAGTGTCGGATTGTTCACCCGCCAATAGGGAACGTGAGCTGGGTTTAGACCGTCGTGAGACAGGTTAGTTTTACCCTACTGATGAATTTAATGCTGCGACAGTAATCGAAGTCAGTACGAGAGGAACACAGTGTTAGTTTCCATTTCACCCACTAGGCAGCAGGTTTGTAAGGGGTTCTGGAATTGGGGGAGGGGAGTGACCCTGGAATTCCATTGACGGTTCCATTTCCCCTTTATGGGGACTAGGTAAATGGAATTGGGGGACCGCCCCACCCCTCCAACCCCTGAAGGCTCATGGGGCTGGAAGGCTTCTTTAGGCGGAAGACTCAACTGTCAGATTTCATGTGCTGGAGCCTGCCTGGACCGAGTTATGTTTGCCAGTCCTTCCAGGAGTGTTTCAGTTTTTTCCTTTCTCTTTTTCTAATCGTATTCCTTCTCTTTATGTTGATCATATCTGTCTAATTAAACCTCGTTCAAGTCATTTCTGAAAGCCTCAGGGATATGTACGCAGAAAAACAAGCCTCGCCCTTTAAATTCAAGCAGATCACGAGTTCCTTTCGGAAGGGCGATTTCGACAATGCAGCCGGCTCAAGAGGAACTGCTGGCATGTGTCAAAACACCGGCTCCCTTGACAAACAGTTTTAAGACCAAGCTGGAGTTGATTCCCAGGTTTGGACACATGGCCAAGGCACATTTCCCCTGATTTTTCTTTTAACGAAAGACTTGGGAGAGAGGCTGGATGCTGCTGCGGAGCCACAGCTGCAGCGCCGACCTGAAGGCAGCAGTGGCAGTGCAGCTCGGCCCCGCAAGCATCTTCGGGTTTGACGATGCTGAGTCGATGAGTTGTTTGGGCACCGAAAGGGGATGTTGTCAACTTGGCAGACGCTGGCACGTGCAGACCAGTGTAGAACCTTGGAGTCTTGGGCCGGGATAGGCACAGAGTGAGGGCCGAAAGAGCCATCCAGGGGCCTTCCCTGGTGTTCGATTTTGGGGCCCGTTGAGCCAGCGCCGTCTGAGGATCCTTGGCTACTATGCAGCTTTAGCCTGTGACTGAGTGAGACATCGGACCTTGCCGGAGACGGGTGTCAATGCCTCTAGATCCAGAAACAGAGCACATGCTGCGCACCAGCTCTCGCCCAGACACCTGCAATGTTGCACGCCGCGAGGTGATTTTGGTGCTGCTGCTGCCCGCATTTGTGCTTTCTGCGACTTGGTGGGAGAATCAACAGCAGGGAGAGGTGTGATCTGGGGATTGGGGATCGTTGGAAGGGACTCAATGGAACCTTCAACGGAGATGTTCTCGTCAACGGAGTGTGGCCACGAATCAAGTAGGTGGTGTTGGTTGCACCTATCTATCAAGACAAGAGAGAACAAAGTGGTGGACGGGGCAATTTGCGGTGCTTTTTTTGGAAAGGACGACATGTCTTCCCATTTCGGTTGTAACCATCCGTGTATAGCGTTCTAATATAACAGGTCCCGTCACTCTCAGAACAATTCCAGGCGCTGCGCCTGAGGTGATGCTGTGCCTCATCCGCCGGGGCCTGGTGGCGTTGCCCCGCATGCCTGGCGCGGCCCCTGAGGCGCGTGGTTGGACCGGCGGCTTCAGCTGAAAGAGGCCAACCGAGGCATCCAGCAGATTTTCCAGATAGCTGCACACGTCGGTGAGTCAAGGGGCTTGAGGTGCATAGGGAATCGGCGGTTTGCAGTGAAAGACCCTTGCCGCGCCCATCGCTTGACTATGCTGCTCTTCACTTTTTTGTTGTGCGTTCTTTTCCAGTTGCACAGCATGGCATGGCCAGGCAGTACAGTAGTTTTCGTTTCTTTCTTTGCTCCTCTCCGACAGCGGTGGTCAGGGCACATTGGAACAGCTGCCGGTGATCGACTTCGACGAAGCGAGGCGCTTCGGATGGCCGTTGCGAAAGGGCGCCAAAAGGACACTGGCCCCGCTGGAGTTCCCTTTTCTACTTGCAGATGTTCAATGGCCACTTTCAGACTTCACAGAGCCAACGTGGGCCAGATGAATCCGAGCACTTTCTTTGGGGGTTCTCTGGCTGGAGGTTTAAATTAAAGGGCCAAAACTGAAAGCCAGGCAACGGGACCAGCCATGTGTCAGACCAAGGGATTGCCCCTTTCGCGCTTGAACGGTGGTGTATGCCCTTTCTTCATGCCAATGTTTCGGCAAGATATCGGAAAGCCATTTATTTTGCAATATCGCCGTCTCCGAAGCGTTGCCAGCAAGCGAACCGACAATAGCTTGCTCGGATGTCGCGCTGCCTGCGCGAAAACATGATGAGAAAGATCACACTTCTTTTTTGTGTGAGTTGCCTTGAGAAAGAGCACTTGCTTCAGGCCATGTAGGTGTCTCCAAAACCAGGAGACTTTACAAGCGGGCGGTTCCTTTCCCTTCAAGCCATTGAAACAGGGGGTCCAATTGCTATTTGGGACAGAACCCTGCTGGCTTCTCTCATGAGCGTCCCACAAATCGTCCCTCCCGCAACAAGGACCGCAAAACTGCTTTCGACGCGGCCCTGCGCGCTCAGGTTCAACGATGCGCCGAGCGGGCTGCCCTCTTCCTGCGCCGTGTGCTTGGACGCCTTCAACGCTCAGAAGGCGCAGTCGACTCGGATTTCTCGTGTCTCAAAGTGGGTCTCTTGGGGTTACTTTCCAAACACCAGGGGCCTTCACAAACAATGAACACCAGCACGGGCGGTCTGTCTTTCCCTGGCCTTTTTTGCTGAAGGGCTTTGAGGACCGAAGTGAGGCAGTCATGAAGTGATTTGGCCTGGTGCTCTGCGGCCTGTTTGGTTGGCTGACTCGGGTTGAGGGGTTGAGGGAACCTGCAAAGACCCCCAGGTGATCGTCCAGACCTCTTGCGGCCACGTTTTCCACCGCAGCTGCCTGGGCGGCTGGTTACAGGTGCGGGCGGGGAAGGGGGGGTCTCGCCCCTTCCCAGAACCCTCGTTTGCTTCCTGGTCGTGCTGGCCCTGTGGCTCATGGAGAGTGCTTCATGCCACCTTCAAACGCTCCGGAATCCCTTGGTTCCATCATTGGTAGAAAAAGCGGAGTCCGCAGGTTCTCTCTGAAGCGCCTTCAGGTGGCCAGAAGCTGCCCCCTTTGCCGCTCGGAGATGGCAGGACCAGAATTGGCGGACTTGGTTTGGAACTACATTTTCCAGTTGTTTGATCTTGTGAGGACCCCTCAGGAGCAGAAATGCCATATGTTGCCCCATATGGCTAGCCGGAAAGGGGCTGTAGCTGACATGCACGTTTGGCGCAAAGCTATCAGAACCATTGTCGCCATTTGTTTCTTGTGTATAGTCACTTTATCCATGCTTTTCGAGGTGTTTTGTTCCTTTTGCTTCGTCTCCTCTTCTTCCTCTCCTTTGTGTGGCATATCGCGCGGTCGGATTGTCTCCCAAAGCCTGCCAGGAGAAGCTGCCTGACTCGGAAGCCACGTGGGGGTCGCAGTTCTGCGGCCGCCCCGTTTTTCAGGGTCGGCGGATAGAGGAAGGGTTCCAGGATCGAACTTGCCAAAGGTTCGCTCCAAAAGCTAGGTGTCATGTTCGCAACAGACTTTCCCACGCACGGAGGACTCCTGGAACCCTGCATTTAAACGGGGCATCCGAGCCAGTTGCAAAATCGCACGCCTATCGGCGGGCTCCCGACTCGCCAGATGCCAAGTCGCTGACATGGAGTCAAGCTGCGAAGAACTTGAGCTAGGCGCAGATAAGGCCCCAAGTGCTTCAACGCATAGCAGGCCGAGGCCAGTTGAAAGATTTGTTGAACTCAGAATGTGGAGACACTCAACTTGCTTGACTTGCCTGGTGGCTCCATTGTGTCCCTTGCTCATCATAGGCGGACCTTGGCGGAGACACGCGGGGCAGTGCGAGAGACAACAAAAGACAGCTTCTGAGTGCTGCTTTCTTGGTGGCATCTGCAGCAACCAACCCCTCAGCCTTACATGCATCATGATGGTAGTGATGCCACTTCCTTGCCGAAAATGAAACCACAGGCGCACTTGCCTGCAACCTGTCTGGGAGGCGCAATTGCTGCCACTTCGCTGACGACTTTTGCCAGCGTGCGGGCACCCGTGAGCCTTTGGCGAACCACCCCTTTGGCTCGGCCGACGAATCGCAACTCTCGTTTCTTGTTTTTATTTTTTTATTTTTTGCAAGGCGACTCGATCGGGCGGCTTGCTTCTGGATGAGGTCTAGCCGTGGAGCGGCCTCCAGAGTGGGTGCGCTGCTCAGCGGCTCAGCCGCTTCCCGCTTCGTTGGGCAGATCCGTCGCGAGGTGCATCGCCTGGCCCGGTTCGGGGTGGGCGTGGAGGAGACGCTGCAGGTGAGAGGGTCGGGACGAGTCACCCAAAGCCGCCTGAAGCAGTGAAGGGAGCATTCAGCAAGCAGGCGAGAGGAGCGCTGAGGAGATTCCATGCGTGAGTTTAGGCTGCGTGAGTCTGCATTTTACTCAGTGCTCAAGTAGACCCGAGAAGGTGCGATATGCAGCTCCCACATAAAGCGCAAGGCAACAGAAGCAATCAGCCCGGCCTCGCAGCAATCCTCAGCCCAGGGTTCGGAATTGGAAAGGGGTCCAGACACAGACATTGCACGGCCTTTGCCATGGATCTCGAGGCAGATCCCGTACCTGAGCTCAATTGCTTCAAAAGGAGAGCAACGAGACCTGAGAAGCGAACAGGTGTTTCTTTCAAAGCTGCTCCTTCCTCTCAGAGGGATTACCACTTAATAACAGATGGGTGCGGAAGGTTGGGAAGGGTTAGAGACTATTCTTTTTGGTGAACATGGTAGAATGCTATAGAGGAAGATGCATGATTGATATCGTGCAGGGGCCTTTCAACAAATGGTGAAGATGGTCATGGTTTGGAAATGGAGAATGAGCACATTGGGTAGGAAGGCTCCCTTGTCAGGGGGCCACCATAGGACTTCAGGGCGAGTTCTTCCGGGCTAAGCCATCGGTTCGGTCTTTGTCTGAGGCCCTGTCCAGCTATGCCCAGTGGCTGGCTGACAGCCTGGCGCAGCACCGGGAGCGGGAGGACTGCGAGTGGCAAGGTCGCTTGGCTTTTGTGCGAACCGGCAACCATGGCCGGGTTGGAATTCTTTGTTCGAACAGGGATGGCGTTTCCTCAACAGAACTGAACATCCGAAGACTCCCCGCAACTCTGGGACGTGCTCAAGGCCACCGACATTTCAGCACACGGACGCATTGCGTTGGACGGGTTGGCTGGGCCAGCATGGGATTGAAGGCATTACTGAAGAGCTGAAGGACCGGACTTTTTGCTAGCCCGCCCCCCCCCCCCCCGAAAGCAAGCTAAGCATCAAATGATCGGTAGCTGAGTTCTGTGGCGACTTCCTCACGCGCAGGAGATCCTCTCAAGGGAGATCACTGCCGTGCGTGAGGCTGGAACATGTTGCACGTGTTTTCAGGCGGCATCGCAGGCTTTGCCCTCTGAGTCCACGATCTGCGCGGTGCTTTCGCTTTGGAACGCCAGCGTTTAGGGCACAGACCTGGCAAGGTCAGATTTGCCAAACTGCCGGGGTTCCACTGGCCTTTGTCACCCGCACATCTGCCTTGTGTTGTGGACCGAGCCAGGCCGCGGCGGTGGGCGCCACGGCGCTGGTGGAGCTGCGCTCCGCAGTGCCGCCCGGATGCGATGGGACGTGGCAGCTGACCTGGTTTTGTTCTCATTTGATTTTGGGACAAATCCAGAATTGCTTGTTTCTCTTCTCCAGATGTGGGTTGGGGTGGACCTACTCAACAACCTCTCAGCCGACTTGGTTTGCAGCCGTCTTGCGCTGTTCCAGGGTGCGGCTTGTAAGCTGCTACTTTGCACTTGACCGGCATTGGACACCCAATCGCATGCTGGGACCGCTTGCCTGAGACTTGTGTTGCCGGTGGTGCACGCCTCCTGGATCGCTTTTGGCTTCGCAGGTTCACCAGCGTTTTTGGTGACATTTGCACCTATCCTGAAAGGGAGCCATCTCAAGGTCAACTTTCCCACATTGCAGTGGCTGGGATTTCTTCATGGAATGTATCTGAAAGAGAGTCATACCGTACCGTCAAAACCTTGGAAGACGCACGTCTTTGGTTTCCAGGTCTGGGTGCGTTGAAGGCGCGTCGACCGCGGTGTGAGACGCGTTGACCGCCCCGGGACCCGAGGCAAGAGCAGCTCGAGAAAGTGGCGCGGCAGCTGGGGGTCCTGAGCCAGGACCTGGAGGGCACCAAGCTCGAGCTGGCCGAGGCGGGGACGAAAAGGTGCGGTAGGTGCGGTAGGTGGGGTAGGTGGGGTAGGTGCGGTAGGCAGGCATATAACAGAGCGCCTACAAGCGACATCTTGCTGACCCAGGTGGCTCAAGGTGGTGAAGCCACTGGCCCGAGTTGCAAAGCTTTCTGTTAGGTGAAGGTGAGTGTCAGGAGAAACGTACAGAGGTGAAGCCCACTGGCCCCTTTCCGTGAGGTGGTGATCGACAAGCAGGAGGAGGAGGTGGAGCTGAAGAGGGAGGTGGACTCCCTGCGGAAGGTCTTTGAGACCCAAAAAGGGTTTCAACAGACGCAGGACGGCATGCCCGACTGCTGCTTGGAATAGTCCCCTTGGACGGCAGGCCCGACTGCCGTGTCGCGCTGTGCTTCCGGGCTAAGAGCTCTCACCCCAGGAGTCCCACTTGGATGCATTGGAGAAGAAGGTGGCGGAGGCCTGGGGGACGGAAGCGATTTTGCAGACGGACAACTGTGCCTTGCGTCAGAACGTCGCTGCACCAAAGACCACATGATGGAACGTGTCAAAAGAAACCCATCGGCACGCTCCAGAACTGTTTGGACCTACGAAAGTGGCCCTCCAAGTTTTCATGACGCCCATTCAACCATTGGAGATGGACCTAGATCCGGCGTCTCCCGCTTTATGTTGTGGCTGGATAGTGGTTATAGCATGGACCATTACCTCGCTCTCATGCTTCTTCCGGAAATTTCCAAGATTCAAGAAAGAGATGAGGGATGAGAGTAGCCTGGACGGGTAAAACCGCGATGACAAGCAACAGAGATAAGTGTGTGAGCAATAGAGACTCACATACAGACACAGCATATGATGGGATGAGGAATAAAGACGGAGCCAAATGTTTTTCACCGCTTCTCTGTCAGCGATTCAATGGTATCTCTCCCAACAGAAATGACTTCAGTCACCCTTGCCGGCCCGGTAGTGCAGCTAGTTTTGGGTACTTGGTAAATACATTCGCCTGCTTGTTCACACACACACACATAGATGTATATTATTTGTCTATCATTCTTTCTCCATTGTTCAAAGCCAACGGTACCATTTGGGGATAGGTGCACCACCCATTTTGTCTATTTGGGTGGGGATTGGGATGTTCAGTGCGGGTACGGGGTTTGGACCCATGGCCATTCGGGTATGCTCCCGAGTTTGACTCCAGAGCCCTGGTCCTAGGCGGCCGACCGGGAGGCCTTGCGCCAGCTGGAGGCGAAGCTTCTGGCGGCGCCTGGGCAGAAGAGACGCCCCGAGCTGGGCGCGAGCTATTGAACCAAGCTGAAAACCAACTGTTCAAACCATGGTGAGCTTCTGTCCCAGTGGACCACACCCAATGCATCCAACCACACAAAAACAAAAACGGTACATATCGGTGGATGGCAGTCATAGGTGTCCTTTTTGATTGTTTTGGCGAAAGAATAGATGGCCCTGGTTTATCAGGTGGTTTACTCATTTGCCAGGGCCATCTATTTCCTCCAAAAGGACACCTATGGTTCAAACGGTTCGGGTGCGATTCCAATATTTCCCTGATGGTCAAACAGAAGTCGAATCCTGAAGGGTTGGAATTTGAGATCTTACCCAGCACAAGCAAATCTTGCCTTATTGATGCCCGAATGGATTTTTGGCCTGGCACCCGGGCGCGCATCCCGCGTGGCGCATGTGAAATGAGGTGGAGGAGCGGACACTGCAAGGTCAACAGCGCCTCGAGCCAAACGGGAGGAACGGTCCATGGACGGTCATTTCATCTTGGATGGCTGGACGCGTGTCTCCAGGAGCTAACCACGGTTTAGGTTGGTCGCGGGCTCTTGTCGGTCTGGTTTTTGCCTTTCATAGCTGGTGAATGATTGCCCTGGAGACAGCCGTGCTTTGCCTTAACTGCATTTTGCAGGTTCGATGCCTTCAGCGCTTGGCTTCCGGCACAAGTCTCCTACCTGTCCTGTGTGAATTTGCGATTAGAATTGGAGCCGGCGAATTTCCCCCAAAGCGGCGGACAGCATTCACCTCGCAGGACATGGGGTCCTTACTCACCAAGTTGCCACGCATGGCTGTGGGTCAACACCAATGGTACCATTTGGGGTAGGTGCACCACCCAGTTTAGAACCTATTTTAGTGGGGACTGGGATGTTCACTGGGGGTACGGGATTTTGACCCATGGCCACATGAGTGCAAGACATCCAACTCCCGTTTCAAGTGAGCTCGCTTTCGCTTTCTCAGGAAGTCTGAGAGCTTTCAGACCCACTTTGCGCAGCGTCTGGAAGACTGCGCCCGGGCTTAAGCCAGAAGTGGGCGGACGTTCCCAGCAAATCGGCTTTCAAATCGGTACTGTTTTTTTGTACGAATTGTCACGGCTCGAATTAGACTCCCGTGATATAGGTTAGGTGAGGGAAGTCAGGAGAAACTGGGAGAAATGGCTTCGCAGGTGGCGTCTTACTGATTCGGTTGGCCAACGTGTGGAAAAGGCTTGAAGTTTCCTTATTTGCAGGGCCGTTGAAAGAAGCAGATCGACACCGGACTTTGTGTGACTTTGCGATCTTCACTTTGGGACTGCACAAGAGGATTTAAACCCTGGAATTGTGACAAAACGCGGAATCGCCTCTCAATTTGGAGGAGCATGGAGCGCATCAATCTGACACCTTCTCACAGGTGTAGCAGAGCAGCGCATGATGGATCTCTTCAGCAAGTTCGACAAGTCCATGCAGAACCAGCTCGACAATCTCCGGCAAGCCCAGGCGCCGCTTTGCCGCTGAGCTGTGGCGGTCGCGAGTTGCGAGTTGCACCTCGCGGCTCGGCAGGTGGAGCTGGAGACGCAGCACAAGAGCATGCAGTCGAAGGAGGACATCTTCCGACGCGACTCGCCAGGAACGGAGACCAGGGCAAGGGGCGAAACAAAAATAGCCATCCTGGGAAACATTTTCCATTCAACAAGCCTTGTTTAAAATACCGATGTCATCAAGCCGAATCTCTTTTGGCCAGAAAGGCTGCGCAAACATGGCAGTCTTTGGTGTGGCACTGTGGGCGAGTGGAATGAGACGTAAGATAGAAGGGTGCTGCTCAGTTGCTGGGTATGCTTGTTGGATTCCAACGATTTGGATGGCAAGGCTGGGGAGGAACTCTTCCTGCCAAATGAGACTTTGCTTGATCCCCCCAGCCTGGAGCAAGCAGAACGGATGGCAGCTGCGGCTGCCTTGATTGTTTAACTTGTTTTGGGTAGGCCATTTTAGTGAGATTTTGGTTGTGACTCACTTGGCCGTGGGTCAACACCAATAATATCATTTTGGGGTAGGTGCACCACCCAGTTTTAGAACCTATTTTAGTGGGGATTGGGATGTTCACAGCGGATACAGGGTTTTGACCCATAGCCACTTGACATTGTGGCCTTCTCTCTGATCACGCCGAGGCAACGTGGAGGAGTGCGACCAGCTCTCGCAGAAGCTGTTGGCCATGCACGAGCTCCTGGAGCCGCGCGTGACCATGGTGGAGGCCGCCGCACTAATCATGCGATCCGAGCTGAGAAGCGCCTCGAGTAATCTGCGCCTTTGTGATTTTGCTTTGGCAGAAAACGGCAAGATCCGATCCGCCCTTTTCCTTTAGGGGATCTTGCCCGATCCGAGTCAGTCCGAAAAAGGGTCGATCCGAGCCGCGGGCGGTTTTGGGCTTTGGGCAAGTGTCCGAACGCTCACCGCACTTGTGGGTGACAGCGACACCGAGGCAGGTCGGTTTGAATGCTCGCCCGAACCCAAAGATGTGTAGAAAGCAGATTTGCGCCTTGAATTAAACTGAGGCAAGTCGAGAGTTTCGAGCCGTGCCCTGTAGGCTATCCGTTGGGTTCTTGTGTTTCTGGGGGCCGCGTTGTCCGTGTTTCTATTGGGCCGTTTCGGCCGGTGAGACGACCCATCCCTTCCGCCGAAACCAGGAGTCATTCCGGGTGGGCTCCCGCGTGATTCGGAGGTTCAAATGGCGGGTGGGTAGAATAGGTCAACCCCAAAATGGCTTCCCCTGAACGGACACATGGAACATCTGCGTTTTTCTGGTGTGGCGGTTTACTTTTGGCCCAGGTTGCTTTCCGCTTTCCGTTGGCCAAAGCGAGTAGGAGTCCCAGCAGCGGGGGGAGCACGCGCTGGAGCAGCTGCGGGGCGAGCTGCGGGAGGTGGCGGCCCAGGCCGCCCAGGAGAACCAATCCAAGGCCAGCCGCAAGACCCGTCGACGTCGCGGGATCTGCAGGAAACCGCCGCAGGCTTTTTTTTTCGTCTTTGGATGCTTGGGTTGATCAAGGTTGTTTGGCTCCCAAATGACCATGGGTAACTTTTTTCCCCCATTTTTAGTGGGGCATATCATCTTCTTAGTGGTTTGCCCCAATGCTCATCTCATGTAACGGCCCGTTTTGATCAATCCCCAAATGGGCATGGAACAGAAATCCGTCGGCTTGTGCCAGGAAGATGCCTTGGCTACGCCCAAGCAGGGCTCGGTCAAGGCAGGACTTCGTGTCGCCTTAGGCTGCGTCCTGCGGGCGTTCACCAAACTGAAGATTGCACGTGCTGACCACAAGTTTGGCACTTTGGACACTTATGTCAACATAGACCAGCCTTTTCTCCGTCCTTTGGGCCTCTGACTCGGAACGAGGGTTTACCTCGACCAGAGTGACATTAGATGGGCAGTCATGTACCGGCATGTTGAGGTGCAAAAGCCACGGGCTGGTCAAATGGAAAGGGAAACCCAACAGCCTAGATCAGTGTGTTGAAGTTTGAGAGGTTGGGCGGGTTCCCAATCACAAGTGAACTGAGGCGGTTTCCCTTTTCTTAGCATCGATGTTGGGACCCCGCCACAAACACGGCCGAGTTTTGGTGTTTTAAGCGCCACAAACGAGACTCCGCCAGATCCCCTCGGAGACGGATAGCCGCCACGCGAGCGCGGGGCGGAGTGCAGGGGGCCTCAGCCCGCGCCGGGCGTCGGCTTTGAGTTCCCCAAATGAATCAGCTCAACCAACAGATGAAGTGGGACATATTTTTGTGTAACCCGGAAAGAAACCCGTACTGAAACCGGGAAACGGGCCCGACTCATGGAGCATTTGAGGCCGTTGAAGCACCAGCACAAGTGGCGACGCTCCCTCAGCCGCAGCCGCAGCCGCCGCAGCCGCCGCAGCCGCCGCCACCTGGCTCGGTTTCATCACCGGTTGTCTATGGTCTTATGCCGGGTTCTTTCGGGCCGCTTTGAGGTGTTTGGCCCTCGCAAAGATGAATTTTGAAGTTGCCTCCGACTTGGGCTTGAAAAGGAAACCAGGAGAAACACAGCCGTCTGGAGAGTCCCTGCTCGCACAGCCTCGTGAGCATGGGTGCTGGGAGTGCAGAGAGAGAGAAAGAAAGAGAGAGAGAGAGAGAGAGAGAGAGAGTGAGAGCAATGAGAACAACTCCAGAGGGTCTTGATCTGAGTTGCTCACGTTTTCTCCCCGATACCTCTTGCACCTTCTGTCACGCCCAGGAATGGCACCGACTGAAATTTACCCCATTCTCAAGGAATCATGATTTTTGGTTTGCTATGTTGGTTGTGGCGAGCTGGTTTTAGGGCCAATCTCTGTGACACCAACTGAATCCCTTTCAATTTGGCCCAATTCCCAACACGCTTGGGGGTGTTGGCCTACCGGAGGCCTAAAGGGGAAGAAGGACATTTGTTTCTGGAACTGAGCCAACAGCCTTGGCAGGCAGACCATCACCATGGCCATGGCACCCATGGTGCAGCCCAAGGCTACCTTTGCCACTGACAGCAGCTCTGACTTGGATGTTGGTGTGTTGAGCTCTGGGGAAACATAGCAGGACTCCAGTCACGCGTCTGTTTTTTTGTTGGAGTCCCTCGGGTCCCTATTATGTTTAATCCTTGTTACTCGCACCCCAACCCCACTATTCATTGTGTCCGAAGGGACATGGCACTTGGTTGAGGAAACCCCGTGTCCTGATGTCAAGTACATGTGTGCGCTCCCAAATGTCATCATTTAATGACGGCGATCTTCGGCTGTCCGTGCAAGCCCTTTGTCCTGTGGTCCTGTCGGACGGTCATGGATCCTTACTTGGGGGGGGGGGTCTCACGTGACTCTAGCTGCAAGGCAAGCGCATGGGAGTAAGACAATGCAATGCTGACTGTGGAGGGCATTCCACATGTTTGGGGATATCCGCAACGTCATCATGGGGCTTGCGACAGTGATTCTGACGCGAATAGCTTGGAGGATTGAACGCCACCCATGCCCAAGCCACGCTTCCTCTCTCAGCATTGTCGCTTGATTGCTTGAATAACAGAGGACCACCAAAAACAGTTTCACCGAAGAACAACGACGAAACGGAGTCCATCTTTGAACCACAATGCTCCTGACGTCTAAGGCTGGCGGTTTTCCCCGGCGCCCAAGCCGGTCTGGGCCGTCAGCGCTGGCACAGGTGGGAGTTTCCAGAAACTTTGCAAATAGACTCAGCGTGGCGCTCCAGACATATGCATTTCAATCCAGATTCTCAACAATAAAAGCTATATGTTCGGGTCCGTTGACAACACCCTTGGGAGCCTCTTCATAAGTCTCTTTGGGAGGGTGGGCCTCATTTTGTGTCCAAGTTTTTAGGTTTCAGAAGGTTGCTGGACAAAAGGTAACTGGAGCTTCGAGGGTTCTTATTTTGCTGCCAGACCTCGAAGAGTCCTCGTGAACTTGGGAGGTTGTTTGGCCAGGCGGGGGATTTTGTTGGCCTTTGTTAGCTATTTTTTGGGCCTGTTTAGCTTTTATAGATGTGTTCAGACTTTTTTAGTTTTGTTTAGTTTAGACCTTTCTGGGTTCGCCAGATTTTCTGGAAGCTTCCTTTATTTGGCAACTGGGAGGTTTATGAAGGGAGCACAGGGGCGAGGAGGATGATGCCAATGAAGGGAGCACAGGGGCGAAAGTGCTGCAGGCTGCAGGGTCCTAAATAGGTTCCAGGGGCTCCAAACAGATTCTTGGAGGCCCGGGCTGCTTTGGGAAGGGGTCTCTTTGGGAGGGGAGTTTGGTTGCTACAATCACGGTCCAGCGTTCTGGGAGGTCTGGCGCAGCACCTTGAAGTTCATTGAAGGTTCTAGTCAAGCTTTTGTAGCACCTTGAAATGTCTAGCGCACTTGTTTGCAAACGGGGCCCTCAGCAAAGGTGTCAAACAAAGAAGCCACCAGAAAAGTGGTACCAGATCTGCTTGCTCAGTAGGTGCACCCTCCAGTTGAGAGCAGATCCCTTGGCCTTAGCGCCGCAACCCGACATCATGGCTTGCCATGTCAAGGGCCTGGGTAGGGCGTTTACCAGAGGCCTTGGGGAGTACTTCCCCAAAGACAATGCGAACGTGCATTGCAACGGATCTTCCGGTCCAGATGCCCAAGCCGAAGTAAAAACATGGCACGCAGCTTCGGTCACTTGGAGTCTGGCCCGGATTGCCAGGCATCCGACGCCTCTCGGTTCTGCAGGGAGCTCCTGCGCCGCATGGATGACAGCTGTGTGCCGAAGAAAAGCGTGGCTGCTTGGGTCTGTGGGTCTGGTGGGTCTGAGGGCGCAGGCCTGGTGATGTCACAAAGATGGCGAATCAGTGGTCTCACCGATGTCAGGGTGGTTCCTTAAAAGCCGTCTACTAGTTTCCACAAGCGTGCGTTGTTCTCAAACGCAGACTCTGTCAGGTGATGTTCGGAGACCAGGGCGTCATGCCGAGAAATGTGGCTCGGAACCAGCGCAGGTTCCTGTCAGATTTGGGATACAGGGTTGTATCTCGGCCGAGGCTGGACATATCCAGATATGAGGTACATTCAATGCACTGTGTTTGTTTTGTGAGTCCGTGAGACCTCCGCTTGGGGTGAACTGCAGAGTCTTGCAGAGTTTCCTAGCAGTAGCTCTGGTCTCAGATGTTCTCAGGAATAAGGACGTCAAAGATACTAGGAATGTCATGCAAATCATTGGACTGGAGGCCAACTGTTGTGAAGTCAATGATTGCGACAGAGTCATCAGTCAGCCGTTCGAGGCCCTTCCATCATCCATGGCCTCTGTCAGCATCTCAGGCTGGGCAGTTTCGAATGGAACACTGCGCCATCGGCATGGGAGTTCAGAGTGCAAATCGAATGCCATTTGCAGCACAGCAATGTTGACAACACTGTTGAATCCAACCCCTGCTCTGGAACTAATCCGTGTTTGGCTCAATCTTAATCTGTCTATGTGGCAGCCACTTGGCACTTGCCAGCCATGCTTGAAATACTGGTCCAAACACGAAGGCATGCTTTGGTAGCGATTTGAGCTGGGCAGCTTGCGGTCCTTGCAAGCCAGCCCCTTTGGGCTGCCCAGAAAGCGGCCCAAGTCAAGCCCCGCTTACGACCCGATGTGCGGCAGTGGGTCTTTCCTTGCGCGATAGAGACCAGTGCTTTTAGATGCGAAACGGTGTGACACGTGTCGACCTGCACTTGCTGGGTTTGTTTCTTGCCTCAAGTTGTTGGCCATATATATATATATATGTATTCATATTTGCACATAATATATGTATAGACACATGAGCGTCGTTTTTGAGGGTGGTAGGGAGAGAGACATGTTGCCGTGTCCCTTGTGGTTTCATGTGAGCTCTTGCAGCTTGTGTGTGCACGGAAAAGCATGGGGAAGCGGTTAGACGCAGAGAAGTGTTGCTGCACGCAACAAGCGCAACACTTACAAGAAGAGCAGTTGCCGGCAACAGGCCAAGAGGAGCAAAATGTCCGACAGATTTTGCGGAAGGTTTGCGGAAGATTTGCGGAAGGCTCGCAGAAGCTCCGCGGAAGGGTGGCCCACGTAGCACCGGTAGCCCAATGTTGCGCACCACAGTTCGTTGTCAGACGATGAAAGCCAATAGCTGAGTTGCAGAGGCAAAAGCTTGCTGCGCGACCTATCGGATGCTCGAGCAATACTTGCGGAAACAAACCTTTGGGCCCGCTGAAAGGGATGCGGATTCCGCGGAAGCTTGAAGAATGTCCAATCAAAATTGAAGGGAATCAACGACAACGCTCACATGTATGCGTGTTGTGTGTGTGTGTGTGCGTGTGTGACTTGCTGTTTGGCGGGAGACGCTTAGTCAGGGGTAGAGGGTAGGCATAGACAATGATGAACGTGACAGTTGAACAATGGCTTGTGGTTGGAATGCGTCAACGTGCTTGGCAGCAATTTGAGCTGGGCAGCTTGCGATCCTTGCAAGCCAGCCCCCTTTTGGCTGCCCAGAAAGCATGGCCCAAGTCAAGCCCCGCTTACGACTTGATGTGCGGCAGTGGGTCTTTCCTTGCGCGATAGAGACCAGTGCTTGCAGATGCGTAACGGTGTAACATGTGTCGACCTGCTCTTGCCAATGCGTGGTTGTGTGCGTGTGTGACTTGCTGTTTGGCGGGAGACGCTTAGTCAGGGGTAGAGGGTAGGCATAGCCAATGATGAACGTGACAATTGAACAATGGCTTGTGGTTGGAATGCGTCAACGTGCTTGGCAGCAATTTGAGCTGGGCAGCTTGCGATCCTTGCAAGCCAGCCCCCTTTTGGCTGCCCAGAAAGCATGGCCCAAGTCAAGCCCCGCTTACGACTTGATGTGCGGCAGTGGGTCTTTCCTTGCGCGATAGAGACCAGTGCTTGCAGATGCGTAACGGTGTAACATGTGTCGACCTGCTCTTGCCAATGCGTGTTGTGTGCGTGTGTGACTTGCTGTTTGGCGGGAGACGCTTACTCAGGAGTACAGGGTAGGCATAGACAATGATGAACGTGACAGTTGAACAATGGCTTGTGGTTGGAATGCGTCAACGTGCTTGGCAGCAATTTGAGCTGGGCAGCTTGCGATCCTTGCAAGCCAGCCCCCTTTTGGCTGCCCAGAAAGCATGGCCCAAGTCAAGCCCCGCTTACGACAGATGTGCGGCAGTGGGTCTTTCCTTGCGCGATAGAGACCAGTGCTTGCAGATGCGTAACGGTGTAACATGTGTCGACCTGCTCTTGCCAATGCGTGTTGTGCGTGTGTGACTTGCTGTTTGGCGGGAGACGCTAAGTCAGGAGTACAGGGTAGGCATAGACAATGATGAACGTGACAGTTGAACAATGGCTTGTGGTTGGAATGCGTCAACGTGCTTGGCAGCAATTTGAGCTGGGCAGCTTGCGATCCTTGCAAGCCAGCCCCCTTTTGGCTGCCCAGAAAGCATGGCCCAAGTCAAGCCCCGCTTACGACTTGATGTGCGGCAGTGGGTCTTTCCTTGCGCGATAGAGACCAGTGCTTGCAGATGCGTAACGGTGTAACATGTGTCGACCTGCTCTTGCCAGTGCGTGTTGTGTGCGTGTGTGACTTGCTGTTTGGCGGGAGACGCTTACTCAGGAGTACAGGGTAGGCATAGACAATGATGAACGTGACAGTTGAACAATGGCTTGTGGTTGGAATGCGTCAACGTGCTTGGCAGCAATTTGAGCTGGGCAGCTTGCGATCCTTGCAAGCCAGCCCCCTTTTGGCTGCCCAGAAAGCATGGCCCAAGTCAAGCCCCGCTTACGACTTGATGTGCGGCAGTGGGTCTTTCCTTGCGCGATAGAGACCAGTGCTTGCAGATGCGTAACGGTGTAACATGTGTCGACCTGCTCTTGCCAATGCGTGGTTGTGTGTGTGTGTGACTTGCTGTTTGGCGGGAGACGCTTAGTCAGGGTACAGGGTAGGCATAGACAATGATGAACGTAACAATTGAACAATGACTTGTGGTTGGAATGCTTCAACGTGCTTGGCAGCAATTTGAGCTGGGCGGCTTGCGGTCCTTGCAAAGCCAGCCCCCTTTTGGCTGCCCAGAAAGCATGGCCCAAGTCAAGCCCCGCTTACGACTTGATGTGCGGCAGTGGGTCTTTCCTTGCGCGATAGAGACCAGTGCTTGCAGATGCGTAACGGTGTAACATGTGTCGACCTGCTCTTGCCAATGCGTGTTGTGCGTGTGTGACTTGCTGTTTGGCGGGAGACGCTTACTCAGGAGTACAGGGTAGGCATAGACAATGATGAACGTGACAGTTGAACAATGGCTTGTGGTTGGAATGCGTCAACGTGCTTGGCAGCAATTTGAGCTGGGCAGCTTGCGATCCTTGCAAGCCAGCCCCCTTTTGGCTGCCCAGAAAGCATGGCCCAAGTCAAGCCCCGCTTACGACTTGATGTGCGGCAGTGGGTCTTTCCTTGCGCGATAGAGACCAGTGCTTGCAGATGCGTAACGGTGTAACATGTGTCGACCTGCTCTTGCCAATGCGTGGTTGTGTGTGTGTGACTTGCTGTTTGGCGGGAGACGCTTAGTCAGGGTACAGGGTAGGCATAGACAATGATGAACGTGACAATTGAACAATGGCTTGTGGATGGAATGCAGCAATTTGAGCTGGGCGGCTTGCGGTCCTTGCAAAGCCAGCCCCCTTTTGGCTGCCCAGAAAGCATGGCCCAAGTCAAGCCCCGCTTACGACTTGATGTGCGGCAGTGGGTCTTTCTTTGCGCGATAGAGACCAGTGCTTGCAGATGCGTAACGGTGTAACATGTGTCGACGTGCTCTTGCCAATGCGTGTTGTGTGTGTGTGTGACTTGCTGTTTGGCGGGAGACGCTTGCTCAGGTGTACAGGGTAGGCATAGACAATGATGAACGTGACAATTGAACAATGGCTTGTGGTTGGAATGCGTCAACGTGCTTGGCAGCAATTTGAGCTGGGCAGCTTGCGATCCTTGCAAAGCCAGCCCCCTTTTGGCTGCCCAGAAAGCATGGCCCAAGTCAAGCCCCGCTTACGACTTGATGTGCGGCAGTGGGTCTTTCCTTGCGCGATAGAGACCAGTGCTTGCAGCTGCGTAACGGTGGACCTGCTCTTCCCAATGCGTGGTTGTGTGTGTGTGTGACTTGCTGTTTGGCGGGAGACGCTTACTCAGGTGTAGGGTAGGCATAGACAATGATGAACGTGACAATTGAACAATGGCTTGTGGTTGGAATGCGTCAACGTGCTTGGCAGCAATTTGAGCTGGGCAGCTTGCGATCCTTGCAAGCCAGCCCCCTTTTGGCTGCCCAGAAAGCATGGCCCAAGTCAAGCCCCGCTTACGACAGATGTGCGGCAGTGGGTCTTTCCTTGCGCGATAGAGACCAGTGCTTGCAGATGCGTAACGGTGTAACATGTGTCGACCTGCTCTTGCCAATGCGTGTTGGGTGTGTGTGTGACTTGCTGTTTGGCGGGAGACGCTTACTCAGGTGTAGGGCAGGCATAGACAATGATGAACGTGACAATTGAACAATGGCTTGTGGTTGGAATGCAGCAACGTGCTTGGCAGCAATTTGAGCTGGGCAGCTTGCGATCCTTGCAAGCCAGCCCCCTTTTGGCTGCCCAGAAAGCATGGGCCCAAGTCAAGCCCCGCTTACGACTTGATGTGCGGCAGTGGGTCTTTCCTTGCGCGATAGAGACCAGTGCTTGCAGATGCGTAAAGGTGTAACATGTGTCGACCTGCTCTTGCCAATGCGTGTTGTGTGTGTGTGACTTGCTGTTTGGCGGGAGACGCTTACTCAGGTGTAGGGTAGGCATAGACAATGATGAACGTGACAATTGAACAATGGCTTGTGGTTGGAATGCGTCAACGTGCTTGGCAGCAATTTGAGCTGGGCAGCTTGCGATCCTTGCAAGCCAGCCCCCTTTTGGCTGCCCAGAAAGCATGGCCCAAGTCAAGCCCCGCTTACGACAGATGTGCGGCAGTGGGTCTTTCCTTGCGCGATGGAGACCAGTGCTTGCAGATGCGTAGCGGTGTAACATGTGTCGACCTGCTCTTGCCAATGCGTGTTGTGTGTGTGTGACTTGCTGTTTGGCGGGAGACGCTTACTCAGGTGTACAGGGTAGGCATAGACAATGATGAACGTGACAATTGAACAATGGCTTGTGGTTGGAATGCGTCAACGTGCTTGGCAGCAATTTGAGCTGGGCAGCTTGCGATTATTGCAAGGCAGCCCCCTTTTGGCTGCCCAGAAAGCATGGCCCAAGTCAAGCCCCGCTTACGACTTGATGTGCGGCAGTGGGTCTTTCCTTGCGCGATAGA